CCGTGGGGTAGGGTAAGTGGAGGAACTAACAGAGAAGCCCTGCACCTACCGTGTGCCTGTCACTCACCGAGCTGCGTTCCCAAAGTGTGCCTGGCTGCCCTGATCCTCCAGAGCCCTCCCGGAGCCAGGCTGGGAATACGCAGCTTTCGGTGGGGGCAGCTCAGCGGGCTCACCGAGTACCAAATTAAACATAGGAATAGTTCAATGCTGTAATTCTGAATTTTCCCGTCAGGTGTATCTTCCTATTGCTGATTGCTATTGTTCTTTTACCGTCTCAAACCTTTTCCTGTATCAAAAAACCTTAAACCCTGTAATTTCATGTGCCGTACCTAATTTTCTTTCAAGAGTTTTGGGGAAAAATAGATAAAACCTTAGCACCGCTAAGGAATTTCTGCCCCGTAGTGCGCGGTGCCTGTGTGTGGAGCAGCTGCAGGGCACGGAGCGTGGGGCTGCAGCACCTCCAGCTGCTGCTCCCTGCAGCTCCTTCGTTACCTCCCCATCTCACAAGCTGTTAATGAGATTTCCATGTGGTCCCTCTTTGCCATGCATTTCTCTTTCGAAGAATAATTTTTAATTCCTCCCCCCTCCCCTTCTGTTGTGTTTTGTTTTAGTAGATGGGGAAGGAATTCCAGCAGGAAGGGGTTTGGGGAGGGTTTAAACCAAGACATGTAATGCAGAAAAACATCTCGAGCTGTTAACTGTGCAGCATGCTTGCTGGGGATGGGCTTCCTTGGCTTCAGGTCCACGTTACGGTAACGCTTTGCTGCCAGCTGCTCGCGATGTGAAGGAGCTGCACTGTTGTACAGGGAGAATTTCGAGCTGCAGGCTCCTGAAAAGCAACGTGCTGGAAAGGGAACCGAAGGGCAGCAGTTAGCCAGGGCTGCTGAGCGCGATTTCCCTGGCAGTGAGCTCCTGGATCTCCTGGCTCCACGGCACAGAGGCCGGCGGTGACACGAGGCGTTCGCACCCAGCGTCACTCAGCCCGGCCCCGGCCGGCACGCCGGGGGGACAGGCAAATGTTGTACGTGGCTGAGGAAGGAAATTCACGGACATGTTTGGGCTTGGTTTGTTTTGACTGAGAGAGCGTGCTGAGTGGCGCAGTTTGGCTTGTGCTCGGTTCAGAAAAGAAACACAAAGATAATTAAAGTAAAAACTGCGCTGCCAAACGCATCGCGCGTTGGGAGAGCAAACTTCTGGCACTCGGGGATTGTAGGTGACTGTTGCTAAGTCCTTTAGAGATATTTATAACCTGAGGCTTGATACCCAGGATGTGAAGTGAGCCAAAGAACTCTCTGGCAATAGCGTACAGATGAGTTGAATGGTTTCTTGCTGGATAAATACATACCCAAATTAACAAATGTTAAATTGGTTCAGGTTTTGTCTGCCTGGTATTTGTTTCAGCTCTAGAAAAATCAGGCAGCTTACAGAATAGCACAGTTTAAGCAGTATTTTCATCTCCAAGTTGGTGATTGACTAATGTCAGTCTTCCTTCAGTGCTTCACGATTATTTGTCTAATTCTTTTTAGACATTTGCTTTTAGTATAGCCTCGTGTAATTCCTACCCGTGAAGTGGCAGGCGTCTCAGATTTCTCACCAGAATATTTTAAGGCTGCTGTTGTACAGTCACATGGCAGGAAGTGTGCCAGTTCTTCAAAATGTGTAAGTAACGTTTTAATAAATGCAGTTTATATCTCTAAATGTAGTACATTTCATTATATTTCAGTGTTCATTTACTTAATTCCTAATCCACCACTGTGGATGGTTATCCGTGGTCGATCAACCACTTGCCTTAGTTCTGTGTTACTCTCTTCTTACCGTCCAGAGCTTTTTAAATTCTGTAAATGAGACTTAGGAATCTCACTTCTCAATTGCAAGCAGTGTTTACGCTGTGTGTAAGTGTACACAGTGTGTGTCAGCTTGTGTTACGTCCATGTGTGTAAAAACACACACGTGGATATTTCAGGGAGTCCTGGCTATTTGAAGTCTGGAAAGGGCACATTGCACAGAGAGCTCGCTTTATAAACCGATTAAACTGGCGTAAAAATGAAGTCATATTTATTTATTTACTTATTTTCTGTTAGCTTGGTTAGCTGGGCTGGCCTCTGAGGAGGCAGACAGCTCTGGAAGTAGTGCGGGGAAGAAATGAGGAGGGCGTAGGGGCAAGCCCCTAGGTTCCCTCCTGTCATCCCACCATACCTGACTTCAAAGCACCTTTGAGAAGCTTGCCCTGATCCCTGCATATTCCTGCACCTTTCTTCTGACATCTTTCTGGTTTGCTTCCCCTTTGAGCCCTTTGCCACCACTTCTCAGCGTGAGCACAGTTCCCATTCCCAAGGGACTCTTCCTGGCAGGACAGACTGCACATAAAAACCCAGAGGAATGCAAAAAAGGCATGGTTAATCCTTCTCGGTGGCGTAGGGCTGTCTGTCTGGCGTGTAGGAGATCTGAAGGACCCGTTTGAAACCTCTCGGAGCTGGGGAGGTTTGGTGTTTGACCCCGCTGGCTGCGCTCCGTCCCCGCTCGCTTCCCTGTCCTAGGGATGGCTGCCTGGGATCGGATCTCTCTCCTTGGACCATCCAGATTGAAGAATTTCAGGGGGTTATAACTTAAGCAAATTAGAGGGAAGAGCAAAAAATAAATAAATGCCTAAGCAGGTTGATAATGCAGCAAATGAAATTCCCTTCTCAACGCATGGAAGGACTCGGGCTCCTCAGGGAGCTCTGAGAACATTTCCAACACGGCAAAACGGCGTTGTTTGTCTCTAACTTCATTCCACCAAATTGCTAACTATTTAGCTTGAAATATTGATATATTTAAACTATTTGGTTTAAAAGTTTAATGGCCATTTTCTGTCTTGGGCTTTATTTCCTGCAGAGCTGTGAATTCCTTCTTCTCCCACGTACAAGAGCACTGAGAAACCTTAACTCAGGTGTTCTTTTTTCAGCCACCCGTGATAAAATGATTTCGTTAACAGAATTTAATCACTTAATCAACGAGAAGTTGACTAAAAATAATGTTTTCCTGAATATTTCCAAAGTAAAAGTACATTTTATGTTTTAAGGTATCTTTGGATCATTCTGTCTACTGATGTTTGGTGATTTCTTCAATTTTATAATTAGGTCCTCCTGATTTGTGCAGAAGTGTGATAGGACCATACGTCTATTGAGCTGGACTCTTCCCACTGTAAATCATACACAAAAAGTTAATCTAGCAGGAATTTGTAAGAAAAAAAGGTCAAGATGCAGGTTTTGATAACACATTCATTTTACGTCCTTGCATAAGAATGTTATTTTTAACTTTTTGTTTTTCTAGTGGCACAGAGTAGGAACAGCAAACCGGGTTTAAATCCTTGGGGACGTTTTTCGGTTTTCCCCAACGTTACTGTTTTTCTGCATACAGTTGATTCTATCAAACTAAATGTGAGTTGTACAGCAAATATTAATAGTGAAAGTATACTCGGATGGACTCTGAGTTTTAATGCTTCTGTTACTAGAGGGCTCAAAATTGTAAGTAATTTTCATAAATTTAAGAAAATGGTTTCCATTTTCTGTCCTTCAACCCCAAATACCAGTCCACTTGTGCCATAGTTACTTCAGTCATTTAACTGTCTTGACCTTCCCCTGTCTGTAACAGCTGTTGTACTAAGTGGTGATGGAAAATGCTGGCCATGTATGCAAAATGAAACCCTGTGTTTGTCAGCAGTTACAGCAATTGTACCTAACTGAAGTATTTAACTCCTGACCATACCGATTCCGTATTACTGTTGCTTAGTCCTCTCAAGAAGATGTTGGTAGCAATGTTATTCTTCGTTAGCTGGAATACCTTTCATTTAAGATTGAGCTGTACCTAACTGCTAACCAGACTGTTTCTGAACGATAATATCGCAGTATTTGTGTCTGCGAATCGTGCTGCCATTGCCTTTTCCTAACAAGACAGTAGCTGTTGCTTCCTTACCCGTATTTTTAAAGTTATCTCTATTCAGCTGTATGATACGTGTTAAAGGAATTTCAGAAAACCAGATTCTGAGTCCTATTGTGAAAAGAATACCCTTTTCTTGAGAAATCAATCAATAAATAAATTGCCTTTTGTCGTGTCTTCAGCTAGGACGTGCGTATTGCTCTTACCTGTATTTCTGGGCGTTACGACTCAGATGGATTTCTTGCTACTTTTCTCTGCTCCTGATCCAGCACATGCAATAATTTTCAGCACATGAATAGTCCCATTCAAACCAACCCGAGTATGAGTTTCAGTCAACTGGAGAAGGCATTTGCCACAATCCAGAAAAGCAGTTATATTTATGCACAAATTTAACTCTACCAGCAGTCCAATTGAAGGCTGGAGATAGATGTGACACATTTGCTGAAATGGCCTTTTACTCTGCTCTAATAAATATTGCCTTTGCATGAGTCTTCCTGTGCTCTAATCGTATTCCCAAATACAGTTGTATTGGAGATCAATCTTAGGTTCCTTTGTTGAACTGCTCTATCCTCACCCATATTTAATGCGTGGTCTCATTTATGATTTCTTCTTCTGTGAGCACTTGACATGAATTTAGATTTATGCTTCATCTCAAATTTAATGCAGAGCCTTAAAATGATGCATTGTAAGGAACACGGGGCTGGAAAGCGCTGCCTAGGTCATTGAGTCTAGTCATCGGATGCTGAAGACACCAGGCACCATAAAATCCTTTCCGTCTTGAAAACAGTTAGATTTTTTGTTCCTGCTACTTGGGCTGGAGGGTTATGCAAAAACCTCATTGATCTAATGGTTAGATGTATTCGTGGCCAGATGATATTCATTTGTTCTTCTGCCAGTGGTATGCTTCAGCTTAAATAGCTCTTCCCTTTCATTTAAGTTTAGCCATATATATGTGTGTGTGTGTGGATGTAAAAGCTGAGTGCATCAGAACACTGTCAGTGTTATATAATTTTTTCGGTTCCTGATCTGAAGCTTAATGCGTTTCTTCAATGACTAAGTATACTTGGTTTTTCCCTTTATAGCTTTACATGTGGTACACATGAAAATGAGGCTGAGAACGCGGAAGGCTTCTCAGCAGTCGAATCAAATCCACACGCAACGTGCTTTGAGGGCAAAGAGGAAACACTCGGAGGTGGAAGAGAGCTTACCTGTTGGCGGAGGAAAACCACAGAAAAATGAAACTGGCTTATTGTCTTCAATCAAGAAGTTTATTAAAGGAAGCACACCGAAGGTACAGTGTCAGTGGGTTTCTTCTTTTGTTTTTTAATTGGGTCATATTCAATTAATTTTGATTTTAAAATGCTTCTATTAAGAATAAATAAGAATATGTAAATGGAAAGCTGGGGCTAAACCACTAAATCTCATCTGCCTTGATACAAACAGAAACCTAAATTTACTAATTTTCACATGTTAAAACATGTCGAATGTAGGTTCTGAGAGAGAATTACATGTATGGCTTTGATAGGCTGAATGCAACCTTGCAATTGCTTCCAAAATCTCATTTTTTTTCTGCAAAGAGAAAGGCCAATCAAAAAAAAAAAAAAAAAAAGTCTTCATTCAGTCCCAGCAATGCAAATATTGATATTACTTAGCTGTAAATTTTAAAGAGTACCCAGGAAGTCATAGCACTGGTTATGAACTATATGGTTTAAAAAAAGTGATTTGAATGCAGAATAATTTTCTGTTTTCTGAACTAAGTGTTGAAAAGATAACTTTGTAACAAGATAAAGTTGAAATAATTTTAATTAAAGTAACAATGTAATCTTAAATTGTCAAAAATATAATGAAATTTAATCTTTAATATGTTGACTACTTATCATAAGAGTATTGAGGTACTGACAAAGAAATACTTCAGTAAAAAGCAAATGCTTAAAACCACTTCCATTTTCATTGAAGTAGGACAATTAAGCCATTTTACATTCAGCACCTATGTGGCACAACAGTGCAACATTTTGGCTGCAAAACCTCTGCAACAAAAAGCTGAAATCTAAGCAAAACATTTTACGTAGGAATTTCAAGATAAGAGAAATATATCTGTTTTTTTTCTTTTTTTTTGTCTCCCTAAGGTTTTGTTAACTTTCTCTCTTCCCCTCTTCTCTCTCCCAAATCTTTGAATTATATTTCATTCTTCTTTTTTTTCTTGACAGTTTTTTTAAAATATAAAATGTCCACGTTTTTCTTCTGTTCCCTTTCATGTCCTCTCCTGTGTCTGTAGCAGGACTTGGAGTGGCTCCAGTGGCATTAGCATGGCATGATATTGATACTGCCGGGCTATCTTCCAAAGCGCTAATGACTTAACAAAGTAGTCTTGTGGCTGCCATGGAAACGTTATAACTCTGTGAGATAGTGTATGTGTACAACTTGCATAGTAGTTCATTTCTGGGTACGTTGAAATCTAAGTCACCACAGCGATTATATGGATTTGTGGCAATAAATGTCTTCATAGCTAGTGTATCGTGACAATTTTGATGGTAGTCATAACTCATCTGATATTGTAAAGGTGGCTTATTGGAAATATTCCTTCAACAAACGGAACCTGAAAAAACATTATAGCTATTTAGGTAGAGAAACTAGAGCCTAACACGTGGCTGTAGGAATGTGGATGGTGATGGGTCTGATCTTGAGGTCTTTTCCAACTCAGAGCCCATGTGCAAGTCAGGGCTAGTTAGGGAATACAAAAGAGTATTTATTATTTACAAAATGACAAGTCTGATCTACCTGAAAAACTGATGTGTGTATGCATTCAGGAAGTACTACAGTATACTGCAATAAGATTTCCACTGTATAAATCAAGGAGAATTGCAACCTTGTGTGTAATTTCATCTTTAAATTCTATTAATGAACTACTTGAACTCTGACCTTGTAGTTTGTGATATTGTCACACCACTTCTTGTCTCCTGATTTATGTTCATATTACATCCGTGTTTATTATTGCTTCAGGGCTTGTTTATTGTTGGCTGTTTTTTTTTTTCCTTCCAGTCTGTTCCGTTGCACTCTTTTCCCCCTTTTTTGCCAAAGAATTTTTAGGAGTGGTAGAATTTTATTTTTTGTTTCAGGAAAATAAATTATTTCTGCAGTTTGGTTTGTGGCCTTTTACATGAATGCAGAACACCCAGAGGTACGAGGCTGGCCATCCTGGAACCCAAAGTCCTTTTTTCTCAGGACCGGTGCCACACGGGCAGAGCACTGAGAGCTTTCCCACACCATCACGATAGCTCCTGTTCTGGAGAGGGAAAGCAGTTTCTGGATTTACTGAATCCGTTGTGCCTCTGCTGATACTATGAGACAGATTTTGTGTTTTCACTGTGTTTTCTGTAATGTTCCTGCACTTGCTCTCCATAAAGCACGAGTCATTTTTGGATTTTATGCATAGCTTTTAGAAGTTAATTAATTTCTCTCTTTTTTTCCCATGTTGAATTTGAACGAATGACCTGAAAGATAAGGTGCCTTGCTGTTCTTTTTATCAGTGAGCCATCTGTTTTCTCTCATATAGGATTTTATGGTATATACATTACCAGTAATTGCTCGTCGTAGTAATTGGATATTGTTCTCACCAAGGTTGTTGGTCAAGAAGAAACTGCCAGTAGGAAGCTTTGGGGATCAGTGGTGGTCACATACTTTGTCTTCTGATATGGCTGTCCATGCATTTCCATGTTTGCCAGTATTTCTTTTAGGTACTGTACTCTTAGCACGGCCCTTAAATTATTTTTTCGAAAGGATCAATTTACCTTTTTTTGGAGCATGCAAACTTTTTTCTTTTTAAAGATGTGAAACTGCTGCTCCCAGAAAGGTAATATTGTAAGTCTAAAGTAGAAATTTTAATTTACTTTAATATGCTTTGTGGCCTTTTCTTTTTAAATATTTAATTCAATTTATTTTGCTTTGTCTCACGTTTTACATTTCAGTGTACTGTATATGGCTGTATTTTAGATTGCCATTTTATTAAGATGTAATAGGTGCTTTGGGGCAAAATGGGAAGAAACCTGTCTTAAATATCTGTGCTACACGTACACACACGCTCAGAAAAAATATGCAAAAACGATCAGTTCTTTCCCATTCATGTAACTGCCACAGAGGAGAAGAGTAATTTTCTTAAAGGTAAGAGGAATCACAGGGTTACAACCCTTGCATATAATATTTGTAACAGCTAAGTTTTGCCATGGGCTATCTGATATGAATTGAGTGCTACCACAGTACATACTTAGAAACAATTTAGCAAGCCACTTTATGTAAGGATCATGGTGGGACATTTTCTATTGGATATTATTATGCAGTTTACTTTCTGTATATTTTAACAAGCAGAGAAATGAAGTTTCTCATCATTCTAGTTGTCTTCTTTCTACATTTCCTTAATGCCACAGCACTTAATTACAAATTGACTATCCGGTAAAATAGTATTTAAAGACAGTTTTTCTACAACAGAAATTCCAAGCACAGCTTTCTTTCCCAGTACTTAGCTATATACCTTGGGTTGTGTCAGTTTGGATGAGTTTAAAATTCCAGCTGGGCAGATCCATGTTGTATGTTCTGCATCTGGAAGTGGAACAATAAATGGACCTTTGGTGGAACTTTCCCTAACAGCTAACATTTTCTGGTGGCATTCAGCGGAGAAAAAAAGCACTACTCAGTATCTTTCTTTCCCCTCTTTTCTGTTTTAAGGAAGAAAGAGAAAATCCTGCAAAAAGAAGTAGAATTGAACGCGATATAGATAACAACTTGATTACATCCACACCTCAAACAGGAGAAAAGCCTAATAAACAGATCTCCCGAGTAAGACGGAAAAGTCAAGTGAATGGAGGTTTGTAAATATTCTAATCATACGTTATTACAGTTGACTGGTGATTCAGTAGCCTTCCAGCTGTTAACTAATAAAGGACATTTCTCCAGGTGAAGGTTATTAAGAGTTTTGTGATTGACTTCAGCGTTAGCAAGGCTGAACTAATAGTACTGAAATCAGATTTCCAGGACTGCAAGCACAAGTTACAATGGATGTGTCTGAGAGGGAATGTTTTATCCTAGTAAGAACAATTTCATTATGTGATAATGACCAGCTATTTTGGAACTATTTTTTTTTTCTAAAAGAAAAGAAGAGCCCATAATGATTATTTGATTTAGTTCTTCTCCCATTTTCTCACAGGAAGTGAAATATGACTTCCCAGTTCATGACATTTGTGGAACTGACCTGGGTTCCTTAGATATTGAAAGCACTTGTCAAACATGTAGCACATTTGTCAAACATATATTCCAACAAGGTTTCTGACATAGAATCATGGAAAAAATTAGGTTGTCAGGGACCTCTATAGGACATCTGGGCAGTCCTCCTTTTCCTCTCCCAGCAAGGTGAATCCAGCTTGAAGAGAAATCTGACGTTTGAAGTTGGATCAGGCTGCTCAGAGCCTTGTCCAGTCAAGTTCCAAATATCTCAAAGGATGGAGATCCTACAACCTCTGTGGGCCCCTGTTCCAATGTTTGACCACCTCATTGTGAAAATAATTCTTTTTTCAGTATCTCTAATAATGTCACACAGAGATACATCCTGTTAGATAAAATATTCCATGAAATTTAAAGCGTCAGCTGTGGTTCCAGATCTGACTTAAAAAACACATTTTTAGACTCCTTTTCCTAAGGAAACGAGACTTCATGTGTTTGTGCTGCCTGTCAGTGTTCCTTCTTTCTCCCAATAACTTTAGAATCCGTTGTCTGATTTCTGCCAAGTTTGTCAGCAAGGCAGAGGTCTGAAAGATTTTATATTCCAACAAGGTTTTTAAAATCAGTAGCTAAGTACAGGATGGAGCTCCAAATGAGGGACTTCAGCGATGGAAGGTTTACAATGTGAGAGAATTACCTGTTTGGTTGTTGTCAGATGTCTGTGTAGGATCATTTTAGGAGTATTTGCTACTGTTAATTAGTTTTTTTGTGTCCTGGAGAGATAATAGGTATGCACTGACTTTGAGTGTGATGCATGCAGACAATGCTTAAAGATGAAAGGGAACCATTTACCTGAATAAAGTTGTCTGATGGATGCACGTAGAGCACACTGAACACATTTTACTGTTACAGCAATACCAAGTTCTTAGTGAAGACACTCAGTATTAGTGAAAGCACTAAGTTGCAGCTGGCACACCCTACGTTTTATGTAAAAGCGACGGGAAGTGTGAAGTACTGGTGCAGCTCCATCAGGCTCAGCTGACAAAAAGGTTCTCAGCTCATGTGCACAAAATACATTTGCTTACTTCCATATGGACAGACAGCTCAAAGACTTGTTACTGTAAAGTAAATAACTTCTTTCATTTCAGTCTCAGAATTATGTCTTGGATCTCACCCATGAGATAGCAGTTTTTAGTTTTAGGATACGCTTTAGATGCACATTTATAGAAAACCTTTAATTGTTATGTGGTATGTTGTTGTAATAACTAAGATTTACTTAATTCTGTGTTCTTTGTTATCTGTCATAACAACTAAGAATTATTTTACTTCCTAATTGTTTTTGTGTGTGTGTCTGTGTGTATACATGTACATATACATATATGGGGAGTATAGTGAAGCATGGACTTGATCTTGTGAAGTTTAGAGATTCAGCCACTGGAGTTCCACTGACACTTTCTCTTGTTTCCATCTAGTGGAGCCCCACTGACACTGACATCTATTTGTTGTGAAGGGTGTGCAGCATCGTAGTCTGCCTTCTGTCATCAAGCACATTTAAAGGATTAAAACTTCTATTATCTGTTAATCTATAGCATATTTGTTATTAGCAATTATTGCTTCCTAATTTGAAATTCTGAAGCTTAAGATGGTGTTGAAAATTGGTATTTCATTTTTATGTTGTTGCTAAATTGCTACCTGTTTTTATTTTTTAAGGAACTATTAGGCTAATTGCTCTTGTCAACTAAGGAAAGTCAGGGAGCAGGAGGGATCTTTCCTATAGTGAAGATAATAACAATAAAAGAGAGGGTGTACTGTGAAAAACAGAAGCATGTATTATACTTCATAACTTTTCTTTTACAGAAGCTGGAAGTTACGAAATGACAAACCAACATGTAAAGCAAAATGGGAAATTAGAAGATAATCCTACCACTGGCAGTCCCCCACGAACTACGTTACTGGGGACCATATTTTCTCCTGTCTTCAATTTTTTTTCACCAGCAAATAAAAATGGTAAGCATTATTTTAAAAGCCAAGAGTGTTAAAGCTAAGTGATAGATTTTTGATTATAAGAAAATGTTGCTTTGAGTGGCGGTACACTTTTCATTCTGATTTACAAACCAAAGGTTACTGCAACCAGATAAAAGGCCTCCTTCACAATTCTTAGAAGGGTTGATCATTGTTAAAAGAAGCAATAAGCTTATATGCAGTAGAAAGTTTCTTTCTTAGGTGTAAGTATCTAGCAGTGTACCTTTTATTGAAAACGTAAAATAAATACTGGTATTAAGATCCTTGTCCCAAACAGAAGGATGTTTTTCATTCTACTTTTGGTTCTTATTTTTGTAACATGAATCAGATACAGCCTCTTTTGGTTATTCTGTAACATATTTTTTGGTGTTTAGTGATGACTGTCAGTATTCTTTAAGCTGAGGTACCTAACAGGTAATGACTATTAGTGTACTGAAATCTTAATTCAGGAACGTCAGGATCAGATTCTCCAGGACAAGCTGTTGAAGCTGAAGAAATAGTCAAACAGCTTGATATGGAACAGGTAGATGAGATTACTACAAGTACTGCAACGTCAACCAATGGAGCAGCTTATACTAGCCAAGCAGTGCAGGTCAGATCTGCTGTTAACAATGGTTTAGAAGAAGTAGAGGAAACAAATGATCGTGACCTGCCACCACTTACAGGTAAGAAATGTGTGCTTGCCTTCTGCTCGAGTCCTGAAGCTGTAGATAGTTGCTACTCCTAGGGAGATTCTAGCACCCCCATTTTGTATAAATTAATATTTCATGTTTGCTTAAAACATGCAAACAGTATTCATACCAATTTTTTTTTTATCAACAAGCAAAACTTTTTTATGCACCAAAGACACAGCTTTTGCAAGGTTCATTTATTTCCATTGTAACTTAGTTGACTTCATAACATTTCTTCAAATGAAAACAGACATTGAAGAATAAAGGCATTGTTATTACTATTTAAACTACCCCCCCACACATTAAAAATGTATCCTCTAGACTTGCTGATCACAAAAGAGAAATTTGCGGCATTTTATTATCATATATTAAAATAACACGTTGAGATGAATAAAAACATAAATATCCTGTATTAATTTTCCACATTTTCTTTGGAAAAACTCAACATACACAGTTTTGGACAAAAGTTCCATATATATGGATATTCCATATCTATAAAATTCACGGTCAACTCTCTGTGGAGGGCCTGCATCAAATTCTTTAGTTATCTAAATCCTCATACATGCATAGGTGTTTCTCCTTTGACACAAATACCCTAGCAAATGATGGGTAGGAGCTGGTCAAGTGTCTGGAACATGCATGCAGGTTGTTCATATCACCAAAGGTTGTAAGGGTGCCTTGCCCTGTAACACGGACACTTTCATTTGGCCAGATCAAGAAGTTCTGTGGGATGATGTGATGTTGAACCCTCAGGAAAATTTGTGAGAAGGCATGCAGGGTATTTCAGATGAAATACGAGGACTAGCAGACTCCTGCTCTTTTTCACTGTTGTTTAAGGCACTCGTGTATAAAATGCAAATTTACACTTTTAAAAACTGCACTAATAAGACTAGCTTTTGTGTTGTTTTATTTATTTATTGTTGTTTTGTTTTGTTTGTTTTGTTTTGGTTATTTTCATTGAATTTTAGCACCAGTATCTCCGGACAGTGGCTACTCATCAGCTCATGCAGAAGCCACCTATGAAGAAGACTGGGAAGTCTTTGATCCGTAAGTGGTAATACCTGTACTTAAAACATGAATTGATCATGTTGAGTATTGGATTAAGGAATTGTTATTTGAGTTGCTGTGTTTTTTATATTACAGTAATGAATTCCAAAATCTCTTAACTTAAAAAAATAAGTGTATGTTGAAGTGTTTGTTTTTCAGTTTAAATTATTTATTTCTTGTGTGGCTTTACACACAATATGCATTTTAAAATATTTAGTTGGGCTACAACATTGCCAGTCGCATAATGCATACACATTTCTAAAACAAAATCTGATACATTTTTTTTCAGATACTATTTCATCAAACATGTTCCGCCATTAACAGAAGAACAACTTAACAGGAAGCCAGCTCTTCCACTGAAAACAAGAAGCACACCAGAATTCTCATTAGTTCTAGACTTGGTAAGTACCTTTATAAATACATAGCAAAATCAGGGGGAGAGCTGTGTAGCATTGGATTTGTTTTGTCTGTTGCTGAAATTAGTACTGTGTGCTCTAAATAAAAATACCTTGCTGAAGGTTACACAATTTTCCTAATACTTTTATTTAAAGATGGTCTGCATAAAAGTAAATTTAATAGTGGCAAGAATAGAATACTTGCTGTATTTGTTGAATTCTTAACATTGTTTCCCCCAAAAAGTATTAATTTTTTTTATCATCTTGAACAAAGAATTATCTGTCCCCGTAAAGCTTTCCAGAACCAATGGAGGAAAACAAGATGTACTAAGTAGGAAAATTTAGCTTCATATGTCTTGCATCAAAATTGACCAGGAATGAATCTTTTAATTCTTATAGCATTCTTCTTCAAAGAGGCCACAAATCCACTTTCTTAAATATTCATAGAAAATGTATTTGTGTTTAGAATAATTTCATCAAGTCACTCTGTTCTGAAAGTAGTTTCAGACACTGCTGATGATGTCAGGAACATTGTTTTACCATGAGTGATATCAGTTGGTGGGTACTCTGGTCATATAAAATGGATAGATGATTCAAATTGATAGATGCAAATTTGAACTGAATGACAGTATAGCCTACAGGATTAAAATGTCTTCTTACAATTATGCCACTAGAACACAATTCTAATTGAAATTTTTCAAAAACTGCAATAATAATAAAATGTAAAATTCATTCCAAAAGCTCGTATTCAATTTTGACAGTGCTTGCACAAAACTAAGTTTTCCAGACTAAATAAACCCACCTTAAAAGGAACATAAAAATCTAGACAACTACTTCTCTTTTCAGCAATCTTTTCACGTTTTTTTCTTACTTTTATACCATCTTTTAATTTTTAATAGGATGAAACGTTAGTGCACTGTAGTCTAAATGAATTAGAAGATGCTGCACTCACTTTTCCAGTTCTTTTTCAAGATGTCATTTACCAGGTAATTAGCATGCATAGAAGAATATGTACCTTTTTATTTTGTTTAACATATGAATTCTTCCCATTTATATTTGTTATGATCTTGTCTAAAGAGATAAATAACTGCCTGGCATTTAACAACTATCTGGGTTATAAACTGCAAGGTGGATTATCCTGTATTAGAAATACTGTGGAGCACTGTTTGTTGCCACAATGTGGTAATGTTGGACACTGATTCAAACTGTAAACATTCATTGCTAAGAAAGTGTAAATGATCTTCGTAGCAGCAATCTTCAGCAGCAGCATTTCTCCTTGCCAGCAGGTGGAGGCAGGAACAGTGAAAGTTTAGCCAGTATTATTTCCGAGTGCAGCTTCTCATGGACTGTTAACTTTCTTCCCTTCATATGGAAAACCAATTCACATTGGTTGATCATTTCTTTCTGTACAGAAGACATCTTCTGAGCCTGCTGTTAACTAGCTTCTGTCTAGATCATTAGTCTTGCTGTACCCTCCACCAGTGCCAGTTCTACCTCTTTACTCCCAGAGAGTCTGCTTGGTGCTTGGAGTGATTTTGATTGTCTTGTGGAGACTGCTAGATTTAGTTTTTTGTTCTGCTTTAGGAGGTACTGTTAGTTGTATGTGATTTACATTGACGTACCACTGAAGAACAAGCATGGGAAGAAGGAACTCTCTTCCAGCAACTACCAAAAGATGCTGCACTGACCCAGGCTGTTGTTCTCAGGTCCTTTTGTGTGATGTACCTGGGAGTAGCAACAGCTTCCCCACCATGTAGTTCGCACGATATTGGATCCCACTGTAGTATCTTTGGAGAATGAGCCAGTCATCAGGCACCTTAAAAGGACACTTGTCCAGGTATTTTTCCTGATTTTAAAAATGTTTTTCTTCACTGTTGCATATAAAAGCCCTTGGAATCTGAAAAGCTGAAATAATTTTTAAACTTGGGTTTCTTATCTCTTATTTGGTGATGGCCATGCTCAGTTTCCTCCAGGCTGAACTTGGAAAGAGCCTTAGAATTAATTCTTTGGAGGTTCTTGACATTTCTAACAGCATTAGGAAGACTAAAGCTTCATTTTTTTCCTTCCTTCTCTTAAGGGATCTCAGTATGATGTTGAGGATTTTCTGTGTAAATTGTCGTCCTTTTAGTGATTGTATGCCTAAATGAGAGTAGCTGAGCTTTAACCAGAATTTTGCCTTTAGGAAACTGAAGTCAATGGAAAGAGTGAGTTACAGTATTTCTAAATCCTTATTTAACAGCATTGTACACATGCCTGTGTAGCCCTTGATACAGTAAAATTACTAAGTGGGTCCTAGATAAGTTTTGTCTTAGCTCTCTGTAGAGTCTAGCCTGCAGTAGCCAAGGAGCAATAGCTTTCTGTAGGTTTGAGAAAGTTGGACACTGTCTGTGAGCGCGCTCTCCTGATCGTTACATTCTGTTCATCCGGTTTTATGTCACACTAGACAACTCACAAATTATTCACCTCTTACTAGGCAACAGGTAATAAGCAAGACATTTTAAAGATACAATTAAATAGGGTATAGTACACAAAAAGACGAATAATCATCCTGAAATAAAAGTAGGAACTAGTTGATGTTACATTTAGGGTTTTTAGCCAACAATTAGCTATTTATCAGCTTTTACAATGTGTTTCTTTTGCTTACAATTGTCTTGGGTATAGTACTGTATTAATTTTGTATCTCCATGTTTCATTTTGGAAGTTACCAGCCGGTAACAGAAGCAGACACTGAGCTGTCTGAGTAAAGTAGAAGCCAGCAAGTTACTATATATAAAGCAGATGAAAACAATACCTGATGTGAAAGATACATTTCTGAAGATTCTTTCCATTAGTATCAAAATGTCTACTGCCTTCATGTAGGTTTTCCAGAAAGACAGTTATTTATCTATTAACTGTTTTTTAAGAGTAAAACTTAGTTCTGTGCTCATTTCCCGACTGAATGTCTTACTGAGAGAAAAATAAGACTGACTAACATTGCAAACATGAACCCGAGTTCGTAGCATTTCAGTTTCCTTGCCCATCCAAAGGCATCAAGCCAGTGCCTTGCAGTAGCAGTGTGATGTTAAACCAGGTACTTCCTCAAAAAGGAGCTCCAGAACTGGCTACTGTAGGGTGTAAAAAAACAGTAAAGCAGTACAAGTTCACGAGTACAACAGTCAAAATCAGTTTGTGTTAGGTTTTGGAGGGCCTGTTAGAAAATATATCTAAACTCCATAGGTCTGGGAGTCAAGCAACAAGTTTCAGGTCCAGGAACTCAGCTCTTTTGCTGTTTGTTTCAGTGATTGTAGGTGGTGGACTATTTTTAAGAATAGTTTCTAAAAAATAAGGAAGTTGTTGTTAATATTTCTTACAATTTACCATGAGGCGTGCAGAAAACGTAATATATGAGTATAGAGCAGTGTTCTGCGAATTTAAAAATTACTGTGCAATTCCAGCACTGGCATACAGGGGTTTTTAAACCTTTGGATGAGTCACTTGAAGTCACTGATTTCTGCTTAAAAAGAAAAAAAAAAAACTCTAAAATGGATATCGTTGTGCTTACTTCAGGCTTTTGAGACGATGAATTTGTTTGTTAATGTTCCCTTTGTTGAAAAATCTCTAAGTTATACCAGTGTTTAAGTTTTGGGCTTGGTAAAAATACAGTGTTTGCAAAGCTGAAGTTTTCTTAAATGCTACGTCTGTTAAACACTGGCTTACATCTGACTATAAAAATAAACATTTGGCTCTTCAACTCTAGACTTAGATTTTATACTGTTTGTATTATTGTAGCACTTTACATTAAGTGGCTTATCTTATTAAGATTTTTTTTCCTGTGGTAGAGAGGTTTTCACTGTATTTTGTTTCGGGTGGGTGAGATCCCCTCCCGCTGTTTGTTCAGAGGGTGCCTTCCATGCACTAGCAGGCTTTCAACAAAAGGCAGATGTTTTCACTCAGTTCTTCAGCTGAAATATATCTTTACTGATCTTTTAGAGAATAATTCACTTTGATCTTTGATCCTTGAAAGATGTTCTGGAGCTACATAGGTCAGTTGGAGGTTACTGACTGTAGTGTTACATATATCCCATCTTACTGTCGCCAGAACTACCTAGGTGCTTTACTTTGTTACTGCAGTGGAATGAGGCACACAATGCTTTTGAGTTCTGGCTCTCCTTTCTAATGAACTCCACTCTTTCTCTGAAATAACAGCAGAGCCATCAAGCTTTGGATCTGAAAACCTTCAGTGTGTCATGGGCAGCACCCACAAAGAAATCCGGTCTTAGGTCAGGAAGACTTCTTTAGCTCAGGAGAACCTCTGGAGTCATACTTTGCCCCTTGAAGAGCCGTAGCGAGCCACAGTTCAGGCAGATCTGTCTGGTTTTGGGATGGTCCTCACCTTGAGTCACTTTTGTTGCCATTGAAATAATGGGATGTGATGATCATTTTGGAAAACAAACAGAAAAAAACTTTGAGGAGGCTTTTCATATATGTTATGCATTTATGCCTGTGAGTCACATTCAAGTAGGTGATATCATGCATCTCAGTGGACACGCAAACGTTCAGTTATTAAAAAGGGTGAAAAATATTACTAGGCTTCTGTACGTATTTTCGAAACTTAGATTTCATGGTAGGTCTACTACTCAGAGAGCAGGAATCAGAAATGGAGGGGAATTAGATGTTGTGTGCACAGGGGAATCAGGCAGGAAAAAAATAGGAAGAGTTAAATAAGGCTGAAGATGGAAAGAGACAAGGTGTTTATTTGCCAGAATTATGGTGAATTTTGGACTGGAGAAGGAAGGGGATGTGCAGCGTTGGCATAACAGTGAAGAAGAAAAGGGGAAGATGTGGGGAAAATGCAAAGGGAGAGGGAGAAAATGGAAAATGTTGGATGTGTTTTGTTCTGCTTTGGTTACTTAATTGTTCTACTCTGGCTACCTCGAGTTCTGCATCAGCTCATCCTAGCTGGGTGTAGTGATGCCATTGCCTTGTGCTGTGCCAGTGCCACAGAACACTAAAAACAGTCCAGTGAATCTGCCATCAGTATCATTATCTATGTGTGTGTGTTTATAAGTTGTAATTAGAAATACATACTCTAAAAAGAAGTTATTTTTCCCTGGCCTTCTTGTTTGCATTTATATATAAGCTTCCTAAATATTAAGACATTATATTTAGATAGACACACACATATAAATACATGTCAGTAATCTAAAATAGAACATGTTACAAAGATGCTGCAATTATCCACAGACTAACAAACTGAAAAAGTATGCACAAGTGAGGAACCCGAGCAACCACAACTTTTCTCTGATACAATTGAATTATTTTTAAAATCATTTAGCTGGCTGTTGTGACCAATTTAATTCAATCCAGCCTTAAAAAAACAACAACAAGCAGCCACCACACAATAAATTGTATACCAAATGTTTTTATATTAGCAATTGAAATACCAACAGATACCTTATTTTAGTGCTTTGGTTGCCAAGAGAGTTTGTAGAAGAGATGTTTAAGAGACTTTCTGAAATGACATCTGTGTTTCTTCCGTAACAGAGAACTGGCTTCACGTGAGCAGAATAATCCCTTTGCATTTGCAAAGAAAAACTTACTTTGCCTTAAACTCAAGGTTACAACTAAAGAGGATGCTGGCTGTGCTATATGCTTGCTGTATGTAGAAAGAACAATTTGCACTGAATTTACAAGCACAGACAAGTTGAGTGTTATTGAGCATTGGGTCACCACAAGGCTTCACGTTAATTCATTACATTTGTCTTTGTGGTAAGATAAATACCTTATCTAGCCTGTGAGCAAGACCTCACCACTTTATTATGGCTAAGCAATAAGTCATTTTCGCAGAGATTTTAGTGCCGTCAGGAGACATATGGCGTGAAGTCACGCCTGTCAGCCCTGTATTTAGGAAGTTGGCTTCTCAGTACCATCTTGGCTAAATGGAGTCCAAAAACCCATCAAGCGCAGGCTGTGGGCTCTCCAAACCATTCCCGATAGCCAGGTTACTTGCTGCCTCACAAGGTGAGTTCCCCAGAGTGAGAAGGGAAGCAGGCCTTGCTTGCACAGTCCATGGATGTGTCTGTGTGTGCTAGAAGCAGGGGTGCTGTTACCAGATGTGATGAGGCTGCAGGATTTTGATTACTGCTCCTAGTATAGAAAATAATGAAAAATTAGGTGTTACTGTAGTACTTGGTCACTCAATAAAAGTCACTCAAAAAAAGGCAATAAAAGCCTTACTCAATTTTAAGCTAAATAATGACGTTTTCATTGGTTTAGAAATATGTACTTCTTTTAAAGGACTAAGATCTATCACAGCATGTGCTAATGATGTGAAATTTACTTAACCCATTCCCTTTTTCTTTCCTTTTGGTCATTTGGTTGTGTCTACATATAAATTTGATGTAATTCAGTGAAAGGAATACAGATCCTTTGTGGAGATTTACCTTGATTTGAAAGTAAATTCAAACCTATTCCCAAATGGCTCTTAAAAAATGGATAAAGTTGAAATTAACTTGGTTTAGATAGAAGTTCAGTATGCTCCCTTTTCTAAAAAAACATGTTATTCTGTACGTGGGCAATCTCTGAATCAAAAAGAAAGGTAAGCAGAGAAGAAGGCCACCGTTTCACCCCTCAGGATATATCCTCACTGTTGGTTAAGGTCAAGTCCAAATGTGTGCCAGAAACCACCCTGGGCCATCTTCCAAACACAAGTACCACAGGAACAGAGCAGTGCTCAGCATCTGCCCTCACACCTGCTGTGCTGGTGGGCCTTTGGACGGGAGCTATAGATCTGTATGGGTGCCTTCGTGGGAGCCCAGGTCTTGTACCTTGAGCAAGATTGGCGAGAGAGATGCAGAAGCCTCCTAGCTTGGTATCTCTTCTCTGGAGTCTACTGTGTTTTTTCCTGGAAATGATCTGTATGTGTGTGCAGTTCTGTGCTGGTGGTGTGTGAATTAATGGAGCTTTGGAAACAGATTAAGCCTTTTTTTATTTTATCACTTCTGACACCCCCGTATTCTATGTGTAATTCTTAGTGGAATAAAGTTATTAGGAAGATTATTTATATGCTGGCATAAAATTATCTAGTAACCGAACTGATGCTGCCCAGCTGGTGAAAGCTGATTCAAAACGTTTAGTCAAAGCAACTGGTTTCATTTTTCTTGAGAGATTGTCTATCTTTTATATTTTAAATTATTGTATTTATTTTTAAATAATATAATTTAAATAATTTCTAATTGCATCAAGTTCTCTAGTAAAATTGTTAAGCCTAATTTTACCATATTATGCTTTAATTTATAGCTGCTTAGGCTTCAAGTTAACTTAATTTTGTTTTAATCAAGTTATTATTCTGTTGGAAGTTAGTATTTAATGATTACTGTATTCATAATGCTCATTTTGACCTGATCTTTACAAACTGATACTTAGCCATGCAGGCAATAGCTGCGGTATTTTGAATCTTTTACTAAAGTGCATCTCTGCTTCAGGTTTATGTCCGGTTAAGGCCATTCTTCCGAGAATTCCTGGAACGTATGTCTCAGATTTATGAGGTAAAAATAATTAGATGTTATCTTTTGAATTTTATTTTAAAGTTATATTTGCATATTAATATCTAAAATAATTCTTTTTTCCATTTAATCCATAGATCATTCTTTTTACTGCTTCTAAGAAGGTGTACGCAGACAAGTTACTGAACATACTAGACCCTAAAAAGCAACTGGTCAGGTAAAAATAAAAAAAATGTGATTATACCTCTTGTAGGCAAACAAACTTACTTCCTAACAGATATGAAGAAAGTGATTCTGATGTTTTCTTTATTGCACTGTGTCTTACTCAAATTATTCTTTGTGCTTGTGCTCAGCTTGTCTAAGGGTGAGAGAAAAATGAAGTGGCTGAATTACTGCCTTGGTGATAAGATAAACCCAGACATCTTTACTTTGCACTCTTGTGGCCAAAAAACTTAGCCGTTCATTCTCTTTAGCATAATAGAATTGCCCACTGGAAATGACCTCCTAGGTATCAAAAATGTGTTTTAGCTGCTCTTGAATATATGTAATGAATAAAGAAAATGAACAGATTACTGGAAGCTCCAAGCCTCAGACTACTTTTAAGCTATTTGTATTTGATTTATTATTTATAAATAATGATTTACATAGTTAACTTTACAAACATTATTTCTTATTCAATCACAAAATAATTTGTGGGTTTTGTGGTAAAGCTGTTATGTTTTTTCATTTCTTCTGTTAATACGTAGATTTGTTTGAAAGAGAGAAGCTTTCCTCAAGAACAGTGCCTTAAGACAGATTAGATCTCGGATGAGATTCTTTCTGTTATTCTCATCTGGAAGGTGGACTGTTATGTGGGAAAGTTGAAACTGAAGAGGGGGTTTCTCAGGGATTCATCCTCAATAGGGTATCCCAAGTGAGTGTGCTGGGTGAGGAAAGTAGCAACTATAGCTGATTATAGTCAGGACTGTGTAAATTCTGTCCCGAAAATGTCTTCGGCAAGGCATTTCTCTGCATCACTTTATTTTGGTAAATTAACTCGCTACTGCATTTTGAATGAGCAAACAAAACTGGACTTTTTGAAGTTAGAAATGCACAGTCATTGGAATATCTGAGCCTACCTGCACACACAGCCAAGCAGGATGTATGAACAAGTAAGATATTTGCACATACAGAAAACGTGTGTGTGTGTGTCCAAGTATCTAATATTTATGATTGAGGACTACAGTTTTAATTTTGTTGTTAACAGGAAGAGTGTGAAAAATATACTTGCTTGGCTGTGTTCTAAAAATTTACAGAATTTCTGTGAAATTCAAATGATATATGAATCTAGATGTGATTCATGTGCCACTGAAAACCTGACATCAAGGCATGATGAGTTTTGACATTAGCCTAAAGGTAGATTTGTCAGGCACTCCACACGTGTGACTCAGAATCTATATATAAATTCATTTGCTGCTGAGGCATCAGCTTATTTTCTTCCATAGCAACATTAGGAACTCAACCCCTTTATGAAATTAAGCACACTTTGTACAGCTACTAAAAACTTCACTTAAATGTAACAGCTTTAAAGAAACTGCATTGTAATACAGCTATGTAAAACTTGAAATCTGTCTAGTTTATAACTTACTTTTGAATTACAGTCACGTTGATATTTTATGAAATTTCAGTTTTACTCCTGTTGTTTATTTATTTTTTTATTTTTTTATTTTTTTTTACTTGAGTCCTCTTATTCTACGCTTCCATCCATTTACTAAGTATTTCTTCTATAATAAGTTAAAAGAGAAGTGGGTAGGAAGAAGCTGATGGAATGTTTTGACCTCAAGGCTTTTTTCAGACTCTAAAAACTGAAATAGGTTAATTGTGAACAGAGGGAGCATAAGAAGGAAAATATTTCTTCTAACAGTGGCATGTGGAGGCTGTGTACTGTAGCGGCTGGAGCAAAATAAAAAGAACAAACTCAATAAATTGGTTCCAGTGCAGACATAATCTCTGATTTTGGGGCCTTGCAAAATAATTTCATTATCTTGGGTCCCTGTGTCAATCCATCTGCAAAAATGGTTAGAAAGCAAGACCCTGTTGACAAATATTTGTTACACCTGAGCTGAGCTTTCTCTGTGTAAATGCAAACAACTGCCTGCAGAACTAGATAAATATAAAATCACCTTAGCTAGCAACTTTACCAGTAAAAAGGTCATAGTGGAATGGAAAATATGGAACAGGTTCTTAAAAATGAGCTAAGTAGATCAGAAGAGGAGAAAAAAACGAACATTTGGTATTGTTAACTTTCTCTTTATGCCATCTGATGTTGCAATTTTTCTCATTAATTAGTATTTTAATTTAATCACAGGCATCGACTTTTCCGTGAGCATTGTGTTTGTGTACAAGGAAATTACATAAAGGATTTAAACATCCTTGGTAGAGATCTTTCAAAAACGATCATAATTGACAATTCACCGCAAGCCTTTGCCTATCAGGTAAGTATGCTGCCATCAGTACACTTCTTAGACGTGGCAAAAAACTTCCCATAGGAATATAGCAAAAAAGACGACAGTATTTAAGACTACATTGTTTGCAGTTAACTTTGTATTTAAATTTATAAAACATACTTTAACAAATTGCTCTGGTTTGCTTGCTTTTCTCTTGTGAAGAGGCAGTCACGTGTAAACTGAATGACTTATTTTATGAACAAACTATATAACCGGTCAGTTTTATTTCTTGTTCATTTTTTCTAAAGAAGCCGCCAGGTCTGCTAAGACTGTCCCTTGGACTTCGTTGCAGACCTAGTTTTTTTAATGCTAGTGAAATCATTAAGAACAGATCACTGGTTGAACTGACACACACAGCTGTGAAAATTATTTATACTTAAATGTTATAAAGTTGTACTCCGTGATTTAGATTTTTCCAGAAGTTCAGTATAAGCCAGGACACGGTTAGTATCCATGTGTTGTTTTAACATAAAATTTTCTCAAAGTACCAATGCTTTTCAGTTCGGCAGATTCTTCTACAGCTAGGTTTATTTCAGCTTTGATGTGGAAATTTTTGCAATGATTTATGCAAAGGAAGGAGTTATTTCAGAAGTGAATTTTAATACAAACTTTAGAGGAAAAATACATGTTAATAAACACCATCTTGGAAACATTTTTCCCCAGAATGCTATTTCACAAATCGTATTATGAGATAAATTAAGTACAAGTCATTTGTTGATGATTTTTTTACTTTAGCTTTCAAATGGAATTCCTATAGAAAGCTGGTTCATGGATAAAAATGACAATGAACTCCTAAAATTGATTCCATTTCTGGAGAAACTTGTAGAGCTGGTAAGTCTTTCCTTCATATGGCCTCCCCCCTCTCCACCCAGTACATTAGTGAGCTCTTTTAAGCAGCATCACATGCTTTCAGATTTTGATTCACTGAGATTTTGACTGCTAAAAGTCATGTGTCTCTTGGAAAGCGTTCTCTGGGCAGTAATTCAAAGTTTGTACAAGGACTTATTTATATAGCAAAGGACAGAATGCCATCATTTATAACTGTGCTTTTAATGAAAACCTGGAGAATTGTGACATCAATTATAATGAAATTGAGAATCTTAAAAATTTAGGTTAAGTACAGCCTTCTGTTGGCTGTGTTGTGTGCCTTTATTCTTAAAATAGAAATAATCTTATTCAAAAACGGTTGTGAATGTAATATAATTGTTTTTATAAGATCATTGTAATTACAAATATAGCTTCTGTTTTGTCATATTAATATACTGGTGTTAGAAATTTGCCCGTATTGAAATCCGATCTGTAGATGTATTTGTTCTTCTAAAACCTGTGCTTCTTTTTGCCTACAGAATGAAGATGTCCGACCTCACATCAGAGACAGATTTCGCTTGCATGACTTGCTACCCCCAGATTAAAGCCTTTTGTCTACTTACTGAAGGGGGAGAAAATGCAGGACCCTTTTGGACTAAAACAAAACATTGCCATTACTGTTGAAATTTTGCATTTTTGTACCCCGTCTTGCTTTTCTTATCTTTGGTGCCCAACAATAATCAAGGGTTACAGAAAGAGACTTTATATATCTGAGATTGAATACATACAGTACAATACAGTACAACACAGTAGGTAGGCTAGAACAGAAAAGTCTTTAGAACTAGTGCAACTCCGATGAATTTTTTTATGTACAGGACATCTGCAGTTTATAAAGAATTCTGTTTCTGCCACCAGCAGTTTGACCTGTAGAAACACAGGATTTTATGATATAACAGAGATTGAAAATGGACTCTTATTTTCTCTCTGTTCGGTGCTCTAAGTGGGTTTGTAGCCACTTTTCTGTTACTTTAAGATTCTCATTTCAACAGGAATGGCCAGTAAAAGTTGTTTTATTTTTCCTGTTAAGGTTTATAACCTTTTTACACTTTTGACCTGTATTAGATTAGAATTTCATTATGCATTCCTTTTAGTTGAGGCGCTTCATAGTTTTTCTGGAAATAGCCAAATTTTCTTAGTTTTTTATTATACAGTTGGATGGCCGTTTTCCTGCTTCGTCTGCCTGCATACTGTATATTTGTTTAAAAATATTCTCTAGTTTTAGCCCATGTAAGTTTCATTTAGAAAGAAAAACCCTGCATTTATATTTTGTTTCTGTAATATTCTACTGTAGTTGAAATCTTTTCAAAAATCAAGAGACTGGCTAGATAAGAAGAATATAAGAATTACTAATATTCAGAATATTTTAAACCATTGTGATGGCATGTACTCTGGACAGACGATATCTTGCAGTGGCACAAACAACTGATGGACAAGGAATACCTCAGACTATACTGTGCATGCAAATCCTTAAAGGAGAATTAGTTTGGTCACCTGTTAGGTTTGATGCAATTCAATTACTGCTGCCTTCTGTTTCCTCCAGGAATGAAGTATTCTGCACAGTGGCTCAGTATTTTAAGATGTTTTGCATGGGCTGCTGGTACCTCTGTTACACTGCTCTTCGTTACAATCAGTTTTAAACTGTGTGACAGCCAGGGTACCTACCAGTAACTATGCATAATCCTGTGGTACAGAACACTCCCATGCCACCAATGCAGTCAGTCTGCTATCATAGTGGTTTTCTATGCTATATGGAAATAGTCTTCAAGCCTTGGTTCTCTAATGCAGCTACTACAAGAGGTTGATATTTTTATAATGGTGTGTAATCTCCTTTTCAGGAGGCTTTTTATGGAAGGTATAATTTGTAAAAGTTAGGATGCTTTGCCTCTCGACTGCATTAACATGCCATAGGCTCAGACTGTTTTTGTGTAAAAGATGTCACAGAACGGCACTTTTTCTAAAGAGAAGTTTGATATTTTGTATGCTTGTTAAGAAAGTACAGTATTGGAAATTAAAGGTGGACAACTGATAATTGAGAAGTATGTCAATTAATTTTTTATGTATATTACCTGTTTACTTGTACAATTTTATTGTACAAATTACATGCAGCTTCATTTTCAAATGAGTCCTTAAAATAAGGAAAATCTTTTTAGGAAAACATTTAATTTTTGTATTTTTGATTTTAAAAGGCATGAGTTATGTCAACTTTTTCCAGTGTATTAATGAAGATTTTAACTTTTCATCAGGTTGAGTGTTTTCTTACTATATTATCTGTTGTGTATGTAGCTAGCACATTGTGTCACTGAACTGTTTAAAAAATTAGCATGTAGAGCAAGCCTGTTTTGTGGAAAATCCTTATTCATTAAAAAAAGAAAAAAAAACATCATGGCAGATTTTCTGCAAAAAAAGTGAAAACATTTGCAATTCAGAATACTGATTTTTTTTGTATTTAAAGAAAGGTATTTTGCTTGCAGGAAAGAAATACTACAGATTCATTTTAATGAGAATCTTTTAAATGTATTTATCTTTAGGGCATCTGGGCATCTTTACGCTGTTTGTCTTATGTCTTTATTGAAATAAAATGTACATAACATTACCTTTATATATGCTTTTGCGCAGACGTGTGAACCCTGTAACCATCCCCGTTCCTTCCTGTTTTTATGTTGATAAGATGGTTCTGGAAATATTTATAGATTTTGAAAATGGTCAGCTTGTATTTGAATTGCTACATGGTTTGCCAACAATTTTTTAGTTGTTTGTTAAAATGTAAATCTGAATCTGAGATTTTTAATTAGTTTAACAGTGAATCCTTGTTTAATGTGGAATTCTTCCAAATTTCTTAGAGTAATTTACATAATAGGACTGCTTTAAAATTCACTAGTCTACCAGAATGAAACCATTTTTGTTAAGTAGTTCATAGCTTTTCTCTGACTGTAAAAAGAGATTATCATCTGTTCAAATACTGTCCTTAAACATGTGCGTCCTATCTTTGGCTAAAACCATTATGAAAGTGCTTTCTTTAGTTAAGGAAACCAAAGCATACATTGCACTTTACAGCTGTATCTGTGTTGTGATTATCAGATCAGTGAGGGAAATCAAAATGTAAATTGGAGGATTTAGTTCTACATAGATGCACAACAACAATAACAGAGACTGCATAGTAAACATATTAAATATTAATATTTTAATGTGCTGCAAGTCTGGTATTTATCATTCTGAACTTTCTTTGCAGAATGAGTCTACCTTCTTCAAAATCTAAGTTCCCAAAAATGTCAAACACTTCTGGCATAAACAGTCTTTGCATGAAGCAAAGTTATATTCCATCAGGTTTTATTCTCATCTCGTTAGTCTTGAGGGTAAGGCTTAACTGTTTCTCCGACATTAGTCTGGATCAAATTGTGCGTACCAAAATTGACACGGATAACCGGGGGAGTCTCAGCTCTGTGTATTACTCGAGTCTTGAATGTAGAACTGTGCTACCTAAGCAGTTAATCTTGTAGCTGTATCATTTATTCAAATTTTATGTATGTTTAAAAAACACAACGTTCTATTTCCAAAGTTTTTAATGATTTCATTTGTGGTCTTTGGATTGATCATGGCAATTGTGTGTTAATTTTACACGTCCCTATGTATTCTGTTCTAGGTTTGAGCATTCTTAGTTCTGACAGCAAAACAATATTTCATACTTATACTGACAATATATGTACAATCTCTTTTTTATATATATTTCCTTAAATTGTTGTATAGATAGAATAGCATTCACCATGGTATTGTTGGCTTCTTTTTCACCTTTGATTCATTGCACGTTCCATCTCTGTAGGAAAATATTTTTTCATTGTTATTGAAATGTGTCTGAAAGCCTGAATGTTTCAAGACCTGATCAAACATCTCCAAAGCAAGAGTTATAGCAACTGAATGCATGCTAGGGAGGCATATCTTCTTTAAACAAGGCACTTAAATGTGCTATTAAAAATAATCAGATATGCAAGTGCTGTGCTGAATGAGAATAGAAGGAAGTGCTGGCTGGAATGCCTTGCGCAGGCAGCGAGCCATGGGCAGCAGAACTGTTTGCTCTCGCTCGCTGTTAGAAGCAGGCGTCCTCGTGCCACAGCTCCCCTCCCCAGACATCTGATTTAGGTGCTGGTTGGATTGGCACAACTGAAAAAGCATCGAGCCCTGATAAGGAGAGGGACCAGGAATGAGTGGCTGAGGAAATAGGTGGAGTGGGTGGAAATCTCATAAACCCATCTTCCACCAGCAGCATAGAACTGTGGTCCTGCGAGCAGCCGCTTGTAGAGCTTGGCCATTCGGTGAGGAAAAGCTGTCCAGGAGCACAAAAGTACTGTTAGTATGCTGAGGGAATAGCCACGTTCCTTTATTTTTTCCTTGTGGTTCTGACTTCCACATAGCATTGCACTGCAAATCGTACCTTTTATTCTTTGTCAAAAGCAACTTGAATCAACTGCATCCTGTCAGTGTATTAAAGTAGAGGATGAGACTGATAACTTCACAATTGATACTAAAACTAAGGAAAGCCCCTGTATGCGGTGAGATGCTTCTATCACAGTGAATTGTGGCTGCTGAACTCGGTGTCCCTTGCTGTCATTCCTCTCTCTTCTGGCCGAGGGCTGGATCAGCACTGAGTACACCTTAATTTGGGGAATTAGAAAAATTTTCTGTGCCTTCTTCATCCCTTCCCCACACTGTGCTCCCATTGTGTTCCCCCTGAAGGACTTGGAGAGCACACCTTTACAAAGCTAACATTTCCATGTGAAATTAATATTTACATAGTTGAGATTAATCTAGTACAGATTGCTAAATTATAAGGTAATGCATTTCAGAAAGTCAAGGCCAGAAAGTAAATGTTCACAACATATTGCCAATTAAAAAAAAAAAAAGCACACCATGTAACTCTACTTACTAGTATGGTATCAGCACAGTTTGACAAGTTTGTTCTAACAGGTACAAAGAGAAACTAATCGCTATTGTATTAAGTCTTCCACTGTAAGTAGAATTTCAAGTTAAATATTCAGTATTTTTCTGGTGAAAAGACTTGTATGGATCTATGTGGCAAAGCAGGCAGGTGGTACCTCTGATCTGATCTGCAGTCATGCTGATTCAATCAGTCAGCTCCATTAAGCTTCTCTAAACTCATTATCAAAGACTGAGACAAAGATGAAATAAAGAAATCATAGGCGCAGGCACCTGGGCAATACGATGAGTGTCAGACAGCAGCGCACGGCTCGTTGTTCATGGCCTTCACCTCCTGAGACGAGGTAAACGTCTTCCGATTCTAGAGGACAAATTCCTGTTTCTGGGAGAACTGATCCATCGAAGGTGTTTCACTTCTGAGTCCCTAAAAGGGGACTTTAAAATCCGCTCTGTGAATAGTGTGAATTTGAAATGTGAAGACTGAAAGGAAAGCCTAGAATTACAGCAGCAGGGTGTAGTTCCACAACAGCTCAGGCTGAGCTGGCTCTGGGAGGCTTTTCCCTCTTCCCTCTCCTCTCCCCTGGTAACGAGTTACCGAGTTACCCGCTTCCTTCTGCCTGTCCTGGGGCACGCGGCTGTGCAGGGAGCTGCTCCTGCTGCAGACAGCATGCTGGAGTAACGAAGATCAGTTAAAGCTGCTGTGGAGTGGAAGCTGAAGGAAGGTTCATGGGAAGACGCTTTTTCTGGAAATGTAATTGTCACATTAAAGTCATTCAGCTGAAGAACAAAGTTCTTAAGACGTTAAAGAACTACTCTCAAAGATTTGATTACACCAAAACCATGTGATTTCAGCTCTGCGTCATAGATTCTTGATGCTTAAATAAAATCCTAAACAAGCTGATAAATGGCTGGTGAGAAGTAGCATAGATGCATCATTTTCTTAGTTAGTGGTCATAATTTTGTAAAAAAAAATAAAAATGTAAAAAAAAAAAATGACAGCAACTTTTTTGTTTGGAAGCAAGCAAGGATGACCGACTAAAGATTAACTTGTATAGATTCTGTTAAGCACATCACTATTTTGGTTGTCTTGACCGTGTAATGTAATACTGTTTTGCTTTATTTTTTTGATACTTGCAAAAATGTCATTGTACTGATAGGCTGAATCTTGTAAAATACAATTGGAAGAGAACCAATGTTCTACAAATTTGTGTTTCTTTTGCCATCATTTCTAGTATATGCAATCATAAAGATTTATATTAAATATTTATGCTCTAGTTACTGTTTTTATGAGTTTTAGCTGATATCAGACTTCATTGAAGACTCGGTTTTCTGTAAAGCAAGACATTTCTCATGTCAGTTTTCAGCCTTTAAAAATGAAGGAAAACAAGTGGTGTTTATGCTTTTTTAAAAGCTCAGGATACTGGAGACCAAGAAAATAACATAAGTGGTTTATGGCCTGAAATTGTTACAGCTGGTTCTTTTAAGATGGTCTTGCTTTGAACCTGATTTTCAATATGTACTGCACCTTCCAGTGAATATCTTGTAAAACTACCTCAGGGCCTGATCCGTCTCCTTTGCATTTGTTTCTCCTCCTGAGCAGAAACCTTTAGACTTTTTCAAAATGAGAACTGCCTGGTTTCCTAGGAGGTAGTACTTCCTTTGACTCGGAGAGCTGTGCCTTAATTTCCTTGTCTATACAATGGGAGTAATACTTATTTGTTTTAATCCAAAAGCTTAAATTTAAACGTGCTGTGTAAATATATAATATTTTTACAATTATGTTCCCAATCATCACACAGTTCCTAGTAGTTTCATAATTATCCTCACAGAACATTTGAGCTTATGAAACTGTTTAGACTCGGTGAGGATATTACTTACTACACTACTTGATCTATAATTATGTCTCTAATGTTATTTCTAGTGCCTGGTAAATGGGTAACAACAAAAAACGGATGATAAATTTGGAAGTCATATTCTTTCTAGCTAACATAAGAGGATCTTCCTCTTGCTAGAGGAACATTCATCTGTGTTCCAGATGAATCTGGAACACACCTCATTAGTAAGACCTATTTCTTTCAGAATAAGGCTGCCCATTCAGGCTGTGACTTAGCTAAGTTGTCTTTGTCCTGACAGTTGTGTCTCTGTTGTCTCCATGAGGTGGAGCAGCAGGAGCAGAAAGTCAGTCAATTCCTGTGAATGGTTCCTCTGCTCTTTTGGGGGCAGGAAGCAGTTATTAGCCATCGCAATTTGTTCACATCCAGGGAGCTTTCAATTATAATCGTCAGGAGGCATCCTGAAATGCCTAGATGTGCAGCATGCTTCGTTATTTCTGTTGGACAGCTTCTCAACAAACCTTAAAAAGTTCTGCAGCATTGCTGCCAGCACACGCTGCCGTGTTGTGTCGGCACGAGGCGGGACATGGTGACACCCCAAAATCCTCCGTCCTGAGCTACAGCCTGCAAAGGCCTCCTCGTCCCTGGGGTCGCAGCATCGTGTGCCTTTATTCCCAGATGGGGAGCATAATGTTTGAAGCACAGAAATTTTAATACTGAGAAAGCCTATTAGAAAACAAAGCGGTTCCATTGCTGAAGGAATTGTTATGAAAACTCTGTGAATAATTCATTAATTACCTGCAGCTATTTAAAATTATCAAACTGTTGTTTGCAAGCCTTCGATAAACCAAATTGTATAATCCCCTGGCACAAGTTGACTGAACTGAAACTGAATCTGGTTTACTATAGCATCCTAATTCTGGCGCTGATGAGTCTTTAACCAATTGTATTGATAACCATAGAAAGATTGGGTTTTATTACTTTTTGGGCGTAGGGCTGGTAGAACTCTGGCCTTTCTAAAGAAGCAAAGTGGAAAAACTGCTGTGTGTCACCACGTTAACCCAAGGGCTCATCGCTAGGTTTGAACTTCTAGATTTTTGCGGCTCTTGATCCTCTTCTAATCTCAAATATACCTGTAAATTGCACATTATTTCTGTGTTTCACCAGAAGCGGGGTTCTCGTAGGAAGGCCCCATCGGAGCTAGCACAGCGCTGCACTCCAGCAGTGCTGGGGGTCTCTCGGCAGGGTAAGGGGGACACTGCTGAGGTACCTCAGGCTGACAGCAGTCCTGTCCCTGCTGTTAGAGGGGTCAAACAGCACAGACCCCGCTTTGGGAGGACCGAGGCAGGGCCGCGGCTGTGCCCCCTCATCGGCCCCCACAGGGCTGAAGGGAAGGAGCAGCTCCCACCCCAGTAAGCACCAGTTGGGCTCAGTGCTCGGGCACCCTGACAGCCTGCGGAGCTGGGGACCCCTGGCAGGCAACATGTGGGCGTCTCCTCATTCTTTGCCTCTTGCTCTGACTGAATTGTGTTGTTATATTTTTAATATGTGAAGGATCGTCAAAAGGTGTGTTTTTTTTTTCACTGCAGCAGAGACAAGGGAATAAATTCAGACTATATGTGACGGTAACTCCTAGATTAATTTATTGATACACACAGCAGCTTTTTCTCCTTCGTAAAATCTTTTTATTTTTGTAACCCTTTCAGAAGGGCCGTGAGGGGGCTGAGGGATCCCGGGGCTCCTCACGCGGTGCGCGGGAAGCCGCGGCCGGAGCCCGCCCGAGCACAGCGAGACCGGGCCGCGGCTGGAAGCCCCCGGAGCGGCACTCGGAGCCCTGGGGGGCTACCGGGGGCTGCTCGGCGGCCGCGCCCCGGCCGTGAGGAGCCTCCCCTCATCATGGCGGCGGGGAGGCTCCTCACAGCCCCGTCCCTCCCATCATGGCGGCCGCGTCCCTCCCCTCATGGCGGCCCGGCCCGCTCCCCCCCTGCCGGCGGGCATTCCGCCGCCGTCCCGGCGTGCCCCGCGCGGCGCTGGCTGTGGTGGGGCTGACTCACGGCGCCTGCGGAGCGGCCGCGGCACGAAGATGGCGGCGGAGGCGGACTCGTGGGGTAGGTGGCGGCCCCGCCGGGCCCCCTCAGCCCCCCTCAGCCTCCCCCCGCCGCTCACCCGCTTCTCCTCTCCCCCACAGACGCCGACAGCTTCGAGGTGGTGGAGCCGGTGGCGAAGCGCCTGGTGCCGGGGGTGGCGGCCGGCGACCGCTGGGCCGGAGAGGATGAGGAGGACGACGTGAAGGTGCCGCGGCCGGGATCGGGCGCCTCAGGGGGGGTCCCCGCGGCCCCTCCTGGGGCTGGGAGGCGGCGCTGGGCTTGGGGGGGGGCTGGGGGGAGCCGAGGCCGCGCTGCCCGCGGGCCTCCCTCGGGGTGGGTCGGGCCCCGGGGCGCTGCAAGGCCGGGAGGGGGGGCCCGGCCCTAAGGGTTTGGCCCGGGATCCCCCCCCCCTGCTGCTGCCGGGCTCTGGGCGCTGCTGGAGGCTCCTCGCCCTCGGCCATCGCAGCCCCCGGGTTGGGGTCGGGGAGGGCTGCGCCGTGGTGGCTGCAGGCTCCGGGCTGCCGCAGCGTGGCCCTGTCCCGCTCCCAGGCCCCGGCCGCAGCTGGAAGGCGCTGCGGGCACCGCGGTGTTGGCTGCTTCAGGAGGTCGCTCGCCATATGTTTGCTGAAGGCGCTGTTTGGGACTGGATTTTGGTGCGTTCGAGGAGCAATGTCAGCGTGGAATTGGTGTCAGAGCGTGTGGGTGTTCGTTTCTTACACCTACAGAAGCTGACTTTCTGTAAAAGTTTGTTTCCTTCCATGTGGTTCCAGCTGTCCCCTAGCGAGCCAGGTGACTGGGTGGGGGATGACACAAACCTCGGTGCACCTAGCGTACGTGCAGACAGGGAGCCAAATAATGTCAGGAAATGTACGAGGAAGGGGCTTGAAGAGCGGGAGGAATGGAAATAGGTAAACTGGAGAACACCTTTTGGGTTCAAATCCAGCTTCTGAGATCCTGTGACAGGCAATCTCCTGGTGGTTCACCAGGTGCCCTGCTTGCTCCATTGCAGTCAGAGGTATGAAGCTTTCGGAGTAGAGAATTGTTGCTTACGAGGTGAGGACTTGCTCGTTTTGTTATTCAGCCTGTGCTTGTGTTACCAGAATCTCTGAAAAACACTGACTCAAGTTGTCCTTGGAGTTCAGGGTGGGTATTTGTTTTTACAGGTAGTATGAAAAGAGTAGTTCATCTGTTAAAAAATGTGTGTTTTTTGTAAGTTACAGGCTGTCCATTTTACTTCATGAATGTAGTGATGCCCACACCCTGCAGTTATCACCGATGTCACATTACAGCAGGCAAAGGGAGCGGAGGTATCTCTGTGCACAGTGGCTGCAGTCATTTGTAAAAAGTGTGGTTAGAGCGGGACTATGTGCGTATAGAAATTTGGATTTAATCTTTATATATTTGTGCAGATGGACGAATATATCAGACTTGGTGTGTTTGTGAAGTTTGCTTCTCCTCCTTTCTTTGAAAGTGGGAAACTTTCCTGCTGTGATGGAATGTGGCCAAGCGAACTGGGCTGCGAGCTGTCATTCCCCGAGAGACACCTGTGCTTTCTGGGGCTGCTCTAATAAAAGCACAAGGTGTTCCCCCATGCACCAGGAGTGCAGCTACTTCCCCCTTTCTCAAGGATTACAGTTCTAGTCCTGGAGCTGCATCTGGAGAGAAGGGCCCAGTCCAGCAGATAAAGCTGTCCTGTTTTGGTTTAGTTTGCTCATAATTAGAAATGCTCAAGATCTCAGAGCTGAGCTAGGGAGGTATAAGCTTAGGTTTGTTTGGATACCTCGTTCGCCAGGGTCAGCCCTGCAGAAGAAAAATTGTGTGGTCTAAAATACAAGCACAAGGTGTTTTCCATGTAGTTTGTCCTAATGCAGGCATCCCACGTTTTGGAATGCCTTTTAGATATTCAGATTCTGTAGTTTGTTCTGAAGTTGTTTTGATAATTAACTTAAAGTAACTTAAAGTTCAGGAAACGGTGACTTCCCCAGGTTTAAAATTAGCATCTTCAGAAGTAATAAAACTCAAACGTTACCCAGAACACAAGTTTCCCAGAAGATGGGCCTCCTGCCAGGGAATGTTCATCTATTTACTCTTGGGCAATTCTTTGCTCAACAAACCAAAACTAGGAAATTCGCTTGTTACACAGGCAACAGCTTTGGTGAAGGAGAGTGCTCAGGCACAACTGGGAACTGGAATGGTGGAGTGCCTGTCGTTCTCAAATCGTGTCTTTTGGTTTTGAGGGGGGAGAACAAGCATTTTCGTGTGTTCAGGGTGCATATGAAACTGTGAGAGCTGCTCTCATCACAGGTTTATTTCCATGAAAAGGAAGATGACTTCAGTGCCCTTAGTTGAGCTACGTACGTGTAAATGAGCATTGTTGAAATACTTCAAAGTTTTAAGCTGCTTTAGTGGCTATGTTGTGCAATAAGTGTCCTCTTTTGAATCACTTAGTATTCAGCACAAAGATGCAGTACTAATTTTCTTTTCCTCCAAGAGCTCACTGAAATTTATAGAAGACAGGAATAGAAGAGCTCGAAGAGGCGAGCTGCTGTTAGCCCAGCTGGGAGGCCGCTGGTGTTGGGCTGAGCAGTCCTCGGGTGCCCGGGGTCTGGACGCTGCCCGGCCAGGAGCGTGCTGGCGGCTCTCCGACAGCTGGAGACTTCCTCGGCTCAAGTTGACTCCTGAAAATCCCATCTAAGAGCCGAGGGAGAGGCCGTGCCGGATGAGAGGTGGCCACGCTGCCCTCTGGTTTTTGCTGTTTTTGTGTTGTTTCATCACCAGAGCTTTGCGAGCCGAACCTGGCACCGTGCGCTGGCCCGGAGCGTGAGCCTGTCCTGGTGCGCAAGGCCCTGCCCGCACGTCCTCTGGGGAAGTCCTCATGTAGGAATGAAATCTTGGCGTTTCTTTCATGCCTCCTGGTGCCTTCGTATAGCGGACAGGCTGCTTTCAGCCTCGCAGGGTTTTGCACTAGGGAACAGCTGATTTTAAAACCCCTGTCTGTGAAGGAGAGGGCAGGGGATAGGGCAGCGAGCTTTGTACAGCAGTAATGGACATGGGTGGAACAAACTCTTAATTAGATACGAGCTGAACTAATGCTGCTGCAAATTCAAGTCAGGTCCTTGGAATGTGGAAGGGAAGCTGAGTCTCTGACAAGTGCCAATTAACTCGAGTGAGCTGGTGGCTGGGTGTCTTCATTGCTTGGATCAGCACTTTGCAGCGCGTGCTGCGTTCTTCTGTCTCCGTCTTGTCACGCCAATGCCAGCCCCTGAAATGAGCAGTTCGGGTGTCTGCTTGCATCACTGCCGTGAGGTGGAAGTGACCGAGTTGAGGGCTCAGTCTGTCAGGTTACTCGCAGTGATGCACTGACGGGCTGTGCGATCTTTGTGTGAGCTGCACCTCATCAAACGTAATCTTTTAAGCTTGTGAGTTGAGTTGAAACAGGGCACTAAAATTAGACGCCTGTGAGGTTTCTTGGCTCTAACTGCTGGTGTGTGTGCCCTGTGGTGCTCGGCATGTAGCTTCAGATCAGTTTTAGAGCATTGATTCCCATATGGAGGTCGGGTCACCCAGCAGAAGCTGGAGTGGTGTTGGGAAAATAAAATGTACTCCCATAAACCCTACCCAGACAGCTGTCAGGAGGAACTGTGGGATTACTGCCACAACATCTGCAGGTGACAGAAACGGGTCGCTTCTTGAAAAGTGCTTCCTCGGTATTCACCTGAACCATGTGCTGCTTTGAGCCAGAGCCACCTGTCCAGGCACAGGAGGGCGGCCGTGAGGAGCGTGCCCAAGGTGGAAACGGAAAGCAGAGAACCTCTGCGGACACCACAGCTGGGGCGGTCCAAAAACGCTCTCGAGGATGTGATGGAGAACATGCCAGTGATGTGTTTGTGGGAAGGGTGTTCTGGCAGCAACTTCTCTTAAGGAAAATGCTGCAGGCTTGTGGTCTGAGGGCTGCTGCGTGCTGGAGCTCCTGCATCAGGATGCCCCCGCGCATCGCCCGTCTGCCCACAGCTGTGCTCCTGCTCACAGCACAGCCCCGTGGCCAGCGGGTTCCGGGTGGTTTTCAGCGTGGCTGCTCCCAGCAGTGGCTGTGCTGCCTCAGGTGACGCCCCGGTATCATGCAGTGTTTAGTACCAGGAGCTGTAGTAAAGTCATGTTTCACATCATGGGATGTTGATCTGACTCTTGTGACCTTGCTTTTCGAACTGTTGACAGGAACTTTGCAGTTCTTTGAATAAAAGCCGCCTTCTTCGTAGCTCCTGAAACATTGTGCTCTGCTCCCAAAAGTAGCGTCCTTATTTTACAGCTCTAATGACTTACCCTGCTTCTGAACTCAAATACGTCAGATTAATGGATACGCGAGCATTTAAAGAGGCTCTATGTAAACTCCTGTTCTTTGTGTTTATCTCAAAAAGTTAAAATTATCTGTAGAAGAATACTGTGAAGATTCATCATAATTAAAACTTACTTTGTAGGATAACTGGGACGATGAGGAGGAAGAGGAGGAAGCAAAGGAGACAGAGATAAAACAAGGTGAGACTTAAAAGGAATACATTTCATTGTGTGTGGTGTCGGAAAAGACGCTGGTTTTGTCCTGAGTGTATCTGAAGCATCAAAACCACTTTCCAAATAGGATCAGGCTTGGTTTTGAGAAAGCGTGTCTTTTAAACTCCCTCTGTGAACAGATTGTGCTAACTGAGCTCTGTCGCTTTCTCTTTGATTAGTGGTTTTCTGGTTGTTGGAGAAAAAAAAAAAAAAGGTAAACCTTGAGTGTCATATTGTTCAATGTTTTACAGAACCCAAAGTTTCAGAAAAAAAGAAAATAGCAGAAAAAATAAAAGAAAAAGAAAAACAACAAAAGAAAAAGCAAGAGGAGCTTAAAAAAAGGGTAATTACTTTTTCTTCTTGGTCTCATACATTTAAAGGGTGGGTTTGTTCTGATTTTTCCTTTTTTTTTTTTTTGAGGTTCAACAAGACCTATGAAGGCCTTGAGTAGTCTGATAAAACAAAGTTAGGTCTTGTACTTAACATCTGGGGGATGTCAGCTTTAATTTCTCTGAAATGTAATTGGGTTATGGAAATAATGCTTATCTCCATTTCTGTTGCATGCACCTCATGGTAAAACATGCAGTTGTGAAACTTCTGAGAATGGGCAAGGCACATCTTAGTTAAAATGAACAGTTTATTAAATGAAATAATAGGCATTGTTATGGTTAATTGGGATGGTTTTCAGGTTTGTACGTGCTTGAGGTGTACTGACTTCAGGCAGAAGCTATTCAAGTGGCACTGGAAAAAAATGATTTCCTGTAATACCTCTGCTCAATATGTTCCCCTGTATACATTTTTTTAATCCAGTTAGAGGCACCAGAGGAACATAGAGAACTTACACCAGAAGAACAGTTAGCAGACAAACTACGGCTAAAGAAATTGCAAGAGGAGTCAGACCTTGAGTTAGCAAAAGAAACCTTTGGTAAGTGTGTCGTACCCCACTCAATGCAACTGTAATGTGACAAAAGGAGCGCACCCCTAAATGAAGCTTTCAGTTCTGTGTGGGGATCCTGCAAATGGGATCAATCAGGATTTGACTGTTAGAGCACAAGCAGGTTGTGTCACTGAGAATAAATGTGGGTTCTAAAACCAAACTACTGGAAGCGTAGCCTGGTGCTAAGGACTCACTGCAGAACCATCGTTGGAATGTAAGGGGCTTTTCCTTAACGTGTCTTGCTAGAATGGTATAGGAAAAAGATGGCTGACTGAATTTCCCGACTAAGTTATGCTTCTGATCAAAAGATGAGCATATGAAGGAAGAAAGTGCTGTCTGTTCTTAGCTGCTTTACAATGCAGACTTCAGGCTGATGAGGCTTTGGGCGAGTGTGGCGCAGCATAACGCACGCATGCTTTACTTCAGGCAGTCTGTGTAGTAAGCTAGATGTCGAGAAAGGCAGCTCGGTTACTGGAGTGCGCTTGTTTCCTTGGGTAGCTGGAAATAGACTTAGTGCAGCTTGTTCTGGCTCTGTGCTTTGACACAGCTGGCAAGGGCGCTGATTTATAGCAGCGTTCTTCAAACACGAAAGCTTGCTTCTTTGCTTAAAGTGGGTTATTCAGCTTATTACTCAGTGAAAATTCTGCTGTGTATCTTCTGAAAGAGTGCAGTGCCTTGGGGAGGAGGGGTTGCTTTAAAACAGTTGTGAAGGACCAATTAAATTTTGCACTGACCCTGGAAGGGGAGAAGCGTTACATGTAGCAAAGAGTGCTTCAGAAATAGCTGCTTCAAATGACTAAGCTTTAGAGCAAAGCCTCTTCAGGTCCAGGTTAGTGACTCAGGCTGGTAGTTTTTGTTTGGCAGAAGCCCATGGGGAGCGAGAAAACCTCAGATTTAGTTTTGCAAAGGTTCAGCAGAAGTGAACTGACTGTGAATGGGGTTATTTGTTTCCTGTTGGTGTCATCTTTTAGGGACTACAGCTGATGTTTTCTTTAAAACCTGTGGTTTTCCTTGCAGGTGTAAATAACACTTGTGGAATAGATGCCATGAATCCCTCTTCAAAAGATGACTTTACGGAATTTGGCAAACTACTAAAAGAAAAAATTACACAATATGAAAAATCATTACATTATGCCAGTTTTTTGGAAGCGTTAGTTCGAGACGTATGTATTTCATGTAAGTTAAGTGAAAGACTTCTAGAATGTACTGCCAAAATTGTAGTGGGGTTGAATGTGAAAACATGCTGTGAGAGTAAAATGTAAATCAAGATTAATCTATGCAGTTTGTAGTAAGTAAAGTCTAGTCTGGTCTGTTTCACTGACCTAGTATCCAATTTCCAGCCCAACAAACCTTATTGTTGATCAAGTACTTGTACTGTTACAGCCATTCTGCAAGTCAGTTAAATACAGGCACTTTAAAAGTGTAAACTCTTTTGCTGATATAAATGTCGCATGTTTCTCCTGAAGCAGCTTCTGGAAAATAAATGATTCTCTGAGCCGGAAAATTTGAGTAGCAATTTGGAAGGAAACTATTATAAAATTGAGATAATGTAATTCAGGGACTGCAAAATAAATTGTTCTGGAATTCAGCATGAATTCCATACACAGATAAACTGAAATAATTTTTTCCCACTGTTGTGGTAGGCTGAAGTATTTGATGAATTCATTGTTTGAGATCTTTTCCTGTACTGTACACGTGTTGTCCTTCAGCAAAGTGGTAACTTGATACTATTTAATGCTGCATAAATACAGGGATTGTTGGCTTCCTGAAGCTAGTAACATACATTTCAAATGGATTCCAGGTCTTGTAAAGTGAAGGACTTGACATCTCTTGGATAATTTATTATTAATATTCCACCGCTCCTTTTCATGTGTGTCTAAAACAGTCCATATTTTACTGCATTACATCATAGTGCTAGATTTTTGTTTCAAATGTCTCCTTACTAAGGCTCATGTGTTCGCTAACTCTGCATTTGCAAAATCTTACCTTCCCCAACATTCAAGCTGCTTACTAGGGACCATGTGAGTAGCAGTTGTCATCAAAAGGCTCAGAATTACCCAGTATGTATTTTGCTGTTTTATATCAAGTAATTGCCAGTATTTACTTATTATTGATGCTCACCTCCATAGTTTTTTGATAGCATTTTGATTATAAATAATTTAACTGCCTTGTAAAATCAATAGTGATGAGGATTTTTATTTTTATTTTTTTTTCCTAATGCAGTGGAAATTGATGATTTGAAAAAGATCACAAATTCTTTGACAGTACTATGCAGTGAAAAACAAAAACAAGAAAAGGTAAGGCTTCTACGCTCTTCTGTAACAATAACGTTATCTGCTAAAGACGCTGATCTGGAAAATGGAAATAGGTCTAATGCCGAATTGAACTGCTGATTTTGTTACATGTAGTAATAGATGAAATGGTAGTCTTGGATACTGTTTTAGAACTACGTAAATATTCCTAGATGTGTGAGATAGTCAGGTGTTTACTGAATCTAGAGACCAGAGGCAAAATGTCCCTTAATTTACATGCATCTTACCTGCATGATAACTTTGTTCCATTTGACACTGCGCTGCCTTGGAGTTAAAATGACTTATGCCAACACCCTGAAAATGGAAGCCAGCTTCAGTTACAGTTAAATGTCAATATAATATCAATATAGGGAAGTAACTTTAAATCTTTGCCAAAGTTTGTCATTTTGAATAGCAGATAGCTGGAATTTCTGCAGTGTCATGCAAACTGAAGGAACAGTAATTGTATAGGCAAGGAATAATAAGTTTTTAAAGATAATGTAATAGTTTAACTGCTGATGCAAATTTTAACATTGTGTTTTATAATATAAATTTAAAATCCCAGATCAGTTGGAATTCAAGTATTAGTTGAATCATTAGAAAGCAATAAAATTAAACAGAAACATCACTGGCAATATACTTTTTCCAGTATGTTTTAAATCAAAGTGAAGGATTGGTAGAAAACAAATGGCAGTGCATTATTATTGTAAGTAGTAGCTTGTAAATGAAAAATGGGACTCTTAAATACAACGCGTTTCAGTGGCAGGTGTTCTTCTGTTATGCCAGTTCTATAGGAACTCTACAGGAATGACTTGAATACAAAACATTTTATGTAGTGTTACTGCATTAAGTCTAGAGGTTGGTAAACATGATGAACTCTTTCTTTAATATGTACTGCACTTTGGAGAGAAGCCTGTGACTTACTGAACCAAAAAAGTTTAAAAAGTATGTATATTTTCTGTTCTTACGCTCTCTCCTTTTCCTGTAAATTAGTTTGGCTAACCACTGAATCCTTTACACCAATCCAGTAAGGCAGAGCTTTATAACTGTTTAGTTTTGTAAAATTAAAAGTAGGCATAGTCTACTTGGTTAGAGTCTAGGTGAAATAGGATGAATGACAAAACAGTAAAATGGGCGATGCAGGGAGCTGTGGAACACTCAATCATTACTATCAATATATTGTGTTGTGGATGAAATGCTGCTGCAGAAATCATTGGCAATAGTGCATTCACCACGAGTACAGGATGCAAGTGTTCATACCTCAAAAACAAGAGGCATCACTCAAATTTAAATAACGACAAATTACTGTGGATTTTTAAGTAAACATGCTCTTCTTCCTTTTTAAGCAAAGTAAAGCCAAAAAGAAGAAAAAAGGTGTTGTGCCTGGAGGTGGTTTAAAGGCTACTATGAAAGATGACCTGGCTGATTATGGAGGATATGATGGAGAATATGTACAAGACTTTGAAGACTTCATGTGACATTTATCTCCCCTTCTATTGTCTTTCTGTTGCCCATAATCCCTTAAACATGTAGCACAACTTCTCTTTCTTTAAATTCTGCCAAATGCTACAATCAAAATTGCAGTATCTCTGTGCTGGTGGTTTAACTCTTGTCAGGCCAGTGCTAAAGCACTGGGATTCCTGTTTTGTGCTCAAGGGGTTAGAATGAAGAAATATAAAAACTGTATAAATTACAGTAAAATAAAATTTTTAAAAAACCAACTACTGCACAGCATTCTGATAACGGTATTGTTGCTATTCGATTTTTATAGTAACAGCCACTAAATTGGAAATGAATTTCAACAAGGCAAAGTATTATTACCAGCACAGTTCAATGACATGGCCTTAACTGTAGCTCCGTGAATGAATTGTTTGAACAAAAGCAGTTTGCAGCAAGGGCATGGTGTGCACTTAGTATTACAATTGCTTTGTCTTAAGTTAGAGCTTGAGGTTTTCAGTATATTGTGAAGGGAAACTGCTAACTTCAAAGTAAGGATACTGCACATGGAATGCATCACTTGAGATACCCACTACTTCAAAGCTTGACATTTAAACAGAACACTTGTTTGGGTCAGAACAAGGAAAGAAGGCCTTATTTGGAAAAAAAAAAAAAAAGTATGAAGTTTAGTTTCCATTCATCTAAATTTCTACTAATGCAGCTGTATGGGTTGGGTATTCTTTAACAGTTAATTGCCTGGTTTAAGTAAGTGTAAAAAATAAGACTTCCTTTTGGTCTCTCATGGGCTGTGGTAAATCTTTCATGACTCAGCCATTTTCTTTCATTTAAAAAAAACTTGCTTAGCAAACTGCAACAGTTACTACAGTTGGGCAAATTGTTACGTTAACAATTATGACATCTGCAATGTTTTATAAAGCAACTAATTTAATAAAAATCACTATTGTGAGGACTTCACTATAGCTGTCTTTGGACCTGTTCTTTCAGTGTACTACAATGTAAGTACTTGAAGAGAGTTGCAAAAATGAGATGAATAGTGGTGGTTGCTTGTAACCAAGTCTAGACTTTGCTCTGACTTGCAGCTTCTCTGGTGTTAGAGGTGCAAGATTTCAATCCTGTATAACAGCTTTCCTTAAATTAAGATGTACAGCTGCTGCTGATAAACAAAATACTTTTGCATTTCCACAGTGAACTTAATTATCCATGTTGCTGGAAGTGCTGAGGTCAGTAGCTTGTACTCACCTTAGAAATGTCTTAGGGCAGCCTCCTTAGCAGTGCAGCTCTATTCCAGCTGGCAACTGACACTTACTATAAGAAGTCAGTATTGCATTTACAACTTATTTATGGCTTACTCACGTGTTTGTTCCTAATACGGACAGGATACATGTGTGCTTCTACAAGGCAGGAGTTCTGCTTCCCAGTATTAGTGGTCCCAAATTTTTAATCAGGGCTGGGGATTTGCAGGAGGTTCTCCTTTCACGCTAGGAACTTTTAAATGGAACTTTAAAGGCTGCTAGTCATTATTTAACTTAGACTGAGCTGGCTGTGATTATTCTAAATTAGTCTTATGAGACTGACTAGAACTGGAATTTTAAATACAGTGTTCTGGCATAATCTGTGCTACTTAATCTTTTATTAAAGGTGTATCAAAGGCGCTATGACTTGGACTTTATATACCCCTATGCAAGTAGTATGCCATATGCAAAGGCTGCTAGTGTGACTGTTCAGCAACCAAAGTGAACTTGTTAAAGATACCAATCCGACTTAGAAATCCAACTTAGCATGTCCTTTGCTAATTAAAAATACAATTGCCATAGCAGCCTTGTTGCTAGGATAATGTTTAATATTTAGAGATAGTACAGTATCATTGCTTAATGTGACTGATGTTACTTTGAAGCTGTTTTTATGCTACAGTTCCTCCCACCCATCTTGTGGAGGAGATAAAGTCTTTGGATGAGAGAGAAGCTGATGGCTGTGTGAAGTACTGTTCAGGTATTACCCTGTTACATGTCCCTGGTCTTCTAAACTTACCCTAAGGATCTAAGTGGCAAAATACTTGGGTTGCTAGCGCTTTTTAAGGCCTCAATACCAACTGTCTGCCCAGTAGGCCTGTCTAAGCACACCAAGACAGTAGCAACTACGTTAAGTACATGCTGTTGTACGAGACTTTCAGCTTAGCACTTAAGCTAGAAAACAAAAACAGGCTAATGAGAGTGGAATCAGAGAATATGTAAAACAATAGGTTACTTGGCATGCACCTAAAACTTTCAAAGGAGCCTGATAATTCTGCTTATTTCCTATGGTGATCCATCATCCACGCCCCTACACTAAAGGGCTGCTGGATCTCTGAGGTTCATCATCAACTGTTCCGGCCTGTATTTGCCATTAGTCAAGTATTTTGTAAACAGTAGGATTTATTATACAAAACGCTTATAGGTTAACACAGTATCAGCATTTTAAATATTTACAACCACCACCAGTTTTCTGGAGTTACTTTCACATAGCAGCATATCATTACAAGCAGGTAATTGATAAAATAGCTGTTAAAGAATCGGTACTAACCATGCAAGTTGTGGCACTGGTACTGTCAGAGTCAGTCTCTACTTCATGGAGGATGGGTTCTAGTTTGATAGCATGTCGTTAAGACAACATCCAGTCTGTGCATCTTTCAGGAGCATGTTTACCACATCGTAGAACTTGTTATCATAAGCCAGTCTGTAGTGCATATAGATGTCTTCACAGTAAGCAAGCAATTTCTTCAGATTTTTCAGAGCAGCATCAGTAGGTGGGTGTTGTTTAACCCTGAAAATAATTTACATAAAATTGAAATAGGAGAAAGCCTTATAATCATTGTCTTGCTACAAGAGCATTTCTTAATGCTCTTAAGAGTATTCTTAAGAGGCTCAACACATAGATTAGATTCTCCTAGCTGTTCATTTTGCTTTGATTTATTTTATGACTCCACTATGACTAGCCTTAAGGTATCCTACTTATTCTGCTGAAATGATCTAGAATGGCTTGAGTTGGAAGGGACTTTAAAGTTCACCGAGTTCCAACCCCCTGCCGTGGGCAGGAACACTGCCCACTAGATCAGGTTGCCCAGGGCCTCATCCAACCTGGCCTTGAACACCTCCAGGGATGGGGCATCCATAATGTCTCTGGGCAACCTGTTCCAGTGCCTCACCTCCCTCTGAGCGAAGAATTTCCTCCTAACCCCTAATCTAGATCTCTCCTCTTTTAGTTTAAAACCCTCCCCTCTTGTCCTGTCATTATCTGCCCAGGCAAAAAGTCACTCTCCATCATTTTATAAGCCCCCTTTAACTACTGCAAAGGCTGCCAGTGATGATAGATCCGGTGCTATTTCCATAATACGTTTAAGAAACTGAACATAGGTCTCAGGTCCCTATATGCTATACTTTATCACAGAAAAGTTTATAACAATACTGACTTGCATTCCATTAAACATGCAACTTGTTCTTCTAGTCTGTGGAAAAGAAAGTTCCCATTTTGACCACAGAACTACTTACTTCTTAGCAATCTCCTCAAATATGCTAGGCTTCAGGAGTTTTTGCTGTTTAAATTCTTCTAAGTAATTGAAGTCTCCCTTGGTGATCACTTGTTGATACAGAACTTCAGCCCAATCTGGAACAAACTCGTAAGCCTCAGCCACAATAGCTGCCTTCAGGGAGAACAGATGCTGGAATTACTAAGCTGGAAGAGTTTAGTTTTGTACAGAAACATTCCTATACTTTAAATATTCTACATCTTCAGTTTGACCTACCTCTGAGCATTATGCTCAGAGGAGCAGAGTGCTTAGGCACCTGCTGTTTAAAGCAATCATTTTGAAAAGAAAACAGATGAGAAAGCTTACTTGATAGAACCTAGGCAAGGACATGATGCATTCCATCAGGTTCTGCCTGTTCAGGTTAATCAGCATAGTGCTCTGACCGGTGTTCAGAAAATGCAGCTGGAGGGTTATCAGCTTTGTTAGCCGACTGCAGCGCAAGGACTGTCGGACGCAGGAGTCCTAGGTAGTAAAAATAAACACAAGCTGCTGGAGTATGTCTCTAGAGGAAAACAATAAACAGTGCTGACAGAAGCAATGTGTTCAGAGTTGTCTAGTATTTTCTCTTGTAGATCACTGCAGTTTTATCATATTCCATTAGTTTTAAATAAAGGTTCACTCACTGCAAATACTACTTTCATCATCCTAACCACACCAGTTCTTAAACACTCTTTATATTGTTCTATTCTCACTTGTCCTTAGAGTAAAGTAGTTCAGCTCATGGTCACTCCTCTAAAACTGGGAATCTAATTGTAATCCCAGCTGTTAGAAGTCTTAAAAGGGAACCCCATACAACTCTTTGATACAATAGTGTTACTGAGACTGCTGGGATACTGCTGAAATGACAGAGCAAGAGATTTGCTTAATTTTTGTTGGGATGGGATTCTGCACATCTCCCTATAGCAGCTTTCTTTGTTCTCTCAGTTCAGCTCACTCCTTATGTGTTGCATAGAAGTGATACAATTTCATGTTGTTTTACCTTAGAGTAACTTTCTGCTGCATCAATAAAGAGAGTCAGAGCTTTCATCAGCAGTTTCTTTAAATTTGCAACATCTTGAAGAGACTCCTCTGAAATGGGGAAAAAATGCAAAAACTTACTATTTACACAGGTGACAAAATAAGCTATAAAATACTTCCTGATACCAAGTCTGTGTCTCCTGTTGTTTCAGAAAGCAGCAAAAAAGATTTCTTATATTAAAAAAAAAAGTTGAAAAATTGCAAAGGAGCAGTGATATCCTGTTTGACTATGAGCCAAAGGTATTGCAGGAACCTAGTCTTGTGATTGAATACTGAAAATAAATCCAAATCACACATTTGTGGTAGATACAACCACTAGTATCAGATAAATTCAGAAAAGCATTTGACATAGTACTGACTAACTGCTCCACACTGGAATCTCTGTATGCTCCACAGCACTCTCCCAGCTGTACAGAACTCACTAAGGTCAGATGTGAGTTACTTTGCACAAAATGTCAACACTTGTATATACACTTTTTGTTAAAACCTACAGCTAAAGCACTGAGTACAAGAACAGTACCTTCCTTCCAGCCAGTGGAATTCTAATGGATGTTACCAGAAAACACAGGCAATCCAAACTACAATTGCCCACTGTGTCTTCCTTCCTAAACAATAATAGCATACAGAACATTCGGGTACATTTTAATTCTTCAGAAGTTTTCCACCTTCAGTCAACTGTGTGGTGCAGACAGCAGCAACCTGACGTACTAAAGTACATGCAAACTCATATTTCTTGTTTTTGCAGTTTGCACTCACCCCATGGCTGTGATTCAATGAGTTTAAGCTGTATGCCAGCAGCAGCCTCGTGATTCTCTCCAATTTCTCGACACATACTGAAGCAAAGGGCTATCATGTTGTGCTTTTCACTGTCCCCCGGGCGGCAACGCTTGATGTAATCCAGCAGAGCTGTCTTCAGTGTCCCACTCTGGTCAAATGAAGGAACATCAGATTAAGATTTGAAAAGCTTATGTTTTCATTCACATTTTAGTACTCATGAACAACTCTATAACGATCACTTTTTGGAAAATTGTATCAGAACAGTCTTTGAGGTTTCTCCACAATAAGACATAATGGGAATATTACACTTGGGCTATGTCAGGCAAAAAAATCCAGTAGCTATGCACCTATTTATACATAAATGTTTATAGTAATAAATGCTAAAAACGAATTATTTTACAATAAAGCTATAAATATTTACTATTTTATGATTTCTAAAAACCCATGAAACAGCAAACTAGGAAAAACAAAACAGGACACAAAAACTCTAAGTGACATTCCCAAGCTTGAAGCTTCAACGCTGTTCTCGTTGCAGCACTGGACTAATTAGAACAAACGTGTTCAACTAAAAGCCGGATAAAACCCAGAATTAATTTAT